ACAGAGAAGAGGAGAATCATTTAAAGTCCAGTATACCTTCCCTGGTTGTCCTGAATGTTGGCATTGGCACCTCGACCCAGCAGAAAGACACACAGCTCCACTCGGCTCATCTGAGCTGCCAAGATCAGAGGGGTTTCCCCGTCCTGACAGAAAGACAACACCAACTCAATTAAATGTCATGGAACAACATCACATTTGATAATGGTGTCCAAAGTATTAGCTCAAATAAAGAGTAAATCATGGATTGTCATTTACTTATTCATCTCACATTACAGTTCTAAACAAAACAATGCAAGCCAAAATATATATATTGTAAAAAAAGGTCCTCATCAGAATCAGAAACGGGTTTATTGCCAGGTAGGTTCACACATACGAGGAATTTGACTTGATGTCATGGTGCATACATAAAATATAAAACATCCTCATCATCCTACCCCATCCTGGACATCCAGACTGGCTTTAAAATCCCACAATGTCTCAGAGCAGGACAAGCAACCACTGACCGCTGCAGGAAATAATCAGAATTATGGTCAATACCAAAGGTTTACATACAGTATAGCATTTACTTACTGTACATTACTGTACTTACATCATGTAATCTAGATAGAAGATTTGTGTTGCATTCAGCTTGAGCGTTACTTACTTTAAATGTGTGATAGGATCCAAGAGAAGTCATTGTTGTATGCAAAGTGAATTGTGTGTGCCCAAACTGATGTCCCATTGTAGTTCTGTAACTGTTACCTGCATGATGAAGCGGCGTCCTACCAATGCTGTCTGTGCAATCTACTGATAATCTCTCCTGTCAGAAGAAATCACAGTAAAAATCCTGCTTGCATTATTCCATTCATATTTTATAGTATATGTTAGCTTTGCTGTCATAGTGTGATTTACCTGTAGGAGCCTCTTTAAACATTCTGATTGGCCGTGTTTGGCGGCGAGGTGAAGGGCGCTGAAGCCTGCCGTCAGTAATAAAACAGACATTTATAAACAATCCACAACAAGTGTGATTCAACAGCCTTGGCTTAGGATATAAACATTTGTATTTGATAGTAAAATACCGTACCAGCGCCATCAGTGATGTTGACGTCGGCTCCGTGAGCGATGATGACCTCCAGACAGTCCAGCCGGCCGCGGGACGCAGAGAGGTGGAACCTGCAGGAGGACAAACAGTCTGTCAGTGGGGCTAAGAGATGAACGTGGGAATCTGTTTCCATCAAACATGCCATCCCTCCACGACCTGCATGCCTCCAGGATCCTGAGGCGGGCAGGGAAGATAGTGGCCGACCCCTCCCACCCTGGACACAAACTGTTCGCCCCCCTCCCCTCTGGCAGGAGGCTGCGCTCCATCAGGACCAATACCTTTCGCCACCTGAACAGTTTCTTCCCCTCCGCTACCGGCCTCTTAAACAAGGCCCGGCCCCCCCGCTGACACTTTACCTCAGCCACAACGTAGTCTCTATATGCATTACATTAATGCACACAATGTCATACTCCTTTCTGCACATATTCTGATTTCACATTTCATAGTTTATATGCAAAAATTCATTCATAGCATTCTATTTCCATGTAAATTACTGCTTAATTTAATTTTAATTGTATTGCTATTTAACTGTATTTTATTACGGTGTAAAAGATTTTGTGTTTTATATTAGATTTCTGTTTTTTATATTTTATGTATGCACCATGACATCAAGTCAAATTCCTAGTATGTGTGAACCTACCTGGCAATAAACCTGTTTCTGATTCTGATTCTGATTCTGATCAAAAATGTCTGCACTCACTTTCAAAAGAAAGTAGGCAGTAGAAGTTTATCGTTTACGAAAAAAGGATTAAGGACAGAAAGATAAATAAGCAGATTATCAGATTTCCCAGTGGCAGGTAAATCCAGGAGAAACTACTTTGCTGGTTCACAAGAAATTATGTGTTTAATGTAACCAGGAGCAACAATAGCAGTTATTAGTGTAAAATAACTACAACACTAATGAGTAAAATAAGCTTTTTATTAACTGCAATTCCTCCTAATGAATGAATTCCTTGCTGTTGGGGTTACATATCCAGCTAGCTTGCAAGGTAACTTCCCTTGGGCCGACATAGAGGAGGAAAACTTAAAATCAGGATGAGGATGGATTACCAGCCATTTGCAAAATATTATGTCCGAATTTTTAAACGAGTCAAACCTTACAGGAAAAGTCTAGGCTGTTTTGATTTTGGTACGCTCTCTAAAGTACACATTTATCCAATTTTTATATTGCTTATATATAGGTCAGGCTGGTATGAGGAACCTTAAAGCTTCCATTTTAAAATTATTTTAGATTAACAGTCTTTAATGGCTTCTGTGATTCATATAAATAAAGGAATTAATCAAATGTGATGAAGTACAGTATGGGTATTTTAAAACAATTTTATATTAAATATACAGAATGAATACATTATTGTGACACACACCGTGATGTAAAGTAACATATCCCTGGATTTAAGATTTCAGCCATATTGCCCACTCCTACTTCCTTTGAGTGACTAAGACAGGAAAACATAAGAAGCCAAACTTACGCTGACTTGCCCTCGCCGTCCAGCTTCGTGGGACAGAGGCCTTTTTTGACGATGAGAGCGGAGACTTTGTCGGGCTCGTTCTGCTCCACAGCCTGCAGGAGCCTCTCATCACTCTTACTCCAGTCCTGGCTCTGAGGGGGGGGCAAACCGCAGAAAGGTCACCCCCGAACTGCCCCGAGAGAAACTGATACCACACTGCATATCTCATATAACAGACAAACAATACATGACTGGACAGCTGAAATACATATTATGCAATCAGACAGATGACTGTGTAAAAACAGAACGTTTTACAAGTTATAATCAACCATTTTTAAGTCAGAATTATTATAATAAAGAGGAATATTCACTTTGTTTATCTTGTATTTAGTGGATAGAGAGAGGAGATACATACTGTAAGTGCCAGCAGGCTGAAACAAGGACAGAGCCGCTTCATGAGGCTAAAAACAGGCTGCTGAGGATCCATACTGCTAGCAGGGCTTCACACACACACACACACACACACACACAACTAAATACAGCTACAGAGTAACAAGCTACCGCTGTGTGTCCTTCGTGACAATACACACCGTCGCTTCACTACATAACAAACATATACAATAGATTCATAACTTTGCTACTCATAACTTTCTCCCTGCTGCCTTTCGGAGGTCACAGCAACATCATAGCAGAGCTCTACATACTGGATCATTTAACCCAAATCGCACCTTCAATGAAATTAAATAGCCTGCCACACAAAAACTCTTATCACACACACACACACACACACAGTATCCGAGCTGTCCTCACAACAATTCCTGTGCAGTGTTCCCTATCCGCATCCAAAACGCTGCTCCATCATCCTGCCTCGGCTGCTAGCGGTGACATAGCCGGTCTGTCTTCTCTCACACTGCCACCTCCTTCCTTTCCTCACTGTCCTCCTTTCTCTAAGCTAATCATTTCTCTGCAGACTCCGTAGCAGGCGTCCTCCTTTTTCGCTCCATTAGTTTTCTTTTTTGTCAGGTCCTGCTCGGTACCCCCCTGACAGCGACATACTGTAGATCTGTTTCTGTGCAGCTGGGCCTGTGTGATGTGAGGACTCAGCAGAAAGGGGCGAAACAGGCTGGCTCAATTCTGCTTGTTTGGATGGTTAATTACCGGGCCGAGGGGACATGAATTGGCACACAAACAAACTGAAATAAAGTTTTTTTCTGGCTGTGGGAAGGCTTGTGCATGTGGAAAACCCTGGGAGATGCATGATATTTATCAATCTATCCTATCTGTGCATCACTCAGTTGGACAATAATACACGACACATCATTACTGAGTGGCTGTGTATTTGTCATAAACAAATCTTGGATCTGTAAGAAATTCTGTGTTTATTCATTTGCAAAAAACAAACTGCTTGTGTCTTGATGAATTGAAATATCTTTGCTGCTGCACAACAAATTATATATTTCAGTTTACCCAGAGCAGCAATAGCAGGCCTTAAAGCAAATTAGCTGCAACACTAATGAGTCAATGAAAGGAAATAAGAAACCAGATGCAATTACCTTAATAAATGAATTCCTTCCGGTGATGTACATTACATTTTATTTAGCTGATGCTTTTGTACAAAGCGGCTTACATATACTTTGATACCGCAGACACACCTATGGGAGCAATTTGAGGTTCTATAAACTACTCAAGGAAACCGCCACAACGATTAGAGGTAAACATTACAGTGCCTAACTTACGCTAATTTGCCTTGGGCTTTAAAAGCATCTTTATAATGACTGTATTGGGCTGTCAGGTGCTTACTTAGATAATGATGAATGTACCTTAGTATATTCTTTATAATATACCTAAAGTATCCTCTGTTCTGGGCTCACTTGCTAAGCCAACTTGCTTGACTGAGCTTGTATCTGCAGACTAGTTTGAACTATTAACTTGATGCTCTACAATACTGAAAGTGCCTCCATACTACCCCTCCAAGGGATCATCCTTGTCATCATTGTTGTGGTTATCACTTACACTAATGGCGCATTTTCACTACAGCGCGGAGCTCGCTTTAAGCGTGCCGAGCCGTGCGGGGCCCGTTTTGGTTGCGTTTCCACTTAGCGTAGTACCGGCTAGCGGGTACTATTTCACAGTTTTTCTGGCCACATAAAATCGAGGTTCTTTCCGGGCCAACAACCAGGCTGAGTCGGGCTGAGTATGCTAAACTAGAGAGAGAATCGCTGGCAAGGGGGCTACAACTACAACAAAATGTATACATATTTGACCGTGATTGAATTGTAATACACGTTTCAAAAGGATACCGAAGTAACAACATACTGATACCGGTTAGTAAAAACCATGAATTAATGCTTTGACAAGTCTACAGACAGACGGCAGGCGAAAAACCTTTTATACAGACATAAATAAACCAGCGACTGTATTCGCCATGACACAGACAGTCTGTGGTTTGTACTTGTTTAACTGTTGTCTAGTTTCTGAACATATATGAGGAGCTGTGAGCTTGAGTGCTAACCTTTATATATACAGTCTATGGTGCTAACAGCTAACGGCTGATGTTGTTTTTCTGGGGTGCTCATTGAAGATGACGTCACGGCTCCGCCTACACTGCGTTACTATAGTTACTACCCCAGTTCCTGAACTGTAATGGAAATGCGCCATAAGTGAGTCAGTCCTAACAAGGCCTAACGAGGCCTAGCCATACTGAGCGAGGCCGAGTGAGGCCGTGTCGTGGAAATGCGCCATAAGACTCAGGTTGAATTTCTCCTTAGGCGACAGACACTAACAGACTGTTAACGTGCTAAAAGCATCTTCAGGGACTAAATGCTCAGACCACATTGTAGAACCAGCTACAAGAGCCTACTACCGATGTCTTAGTGCTGTAAGGTTGCAAGTCTTTCTGACCTCAGTATGTTGACCTGCAATAAGACATTGGCTACATGGAACAGGCAAAAAAGTAAAATCTTAAAAGAGCAGTATTTGGAAACCAGGTTAAATCCCAAAGCCATTAGAGTAGCAGAGGTATGACAGCAGGAAGGTGGGGATTCTGTGTGTGTGTGTGTGTGTGTGTGTGTGTGTGTGTGTGTGTGTGTGTGTGTGTGTGTGTGTGTGTGTGTGTGTGTGTGTGTGTGTGTGTGTGTACATGTGAATAATTGAAGGCTACCTGAGATCTCTGGTTATAGCAGCAGTCTGGAGACAGCCCTGCTCTCCTGCTGCTGCTCAGTGACACTGAATCCCAGGGCCCCCAGGGCCCCCCATACACACTCACACACACTCGCCCACAAACACAAGGAACAACCTGGGATCTATATAAATGACTTCCCAATCCTGAGCAGGTGGACACTGTAATATTAGGTTAAAACACAGCTTGTTGTGGCTTATATATGTAAATAGCTTGTAGCAAACAGGTGTACTACTTTTAACTGTAAAGTTCCACATGCCCACAGATGGCTCTTACCTCAGTCTTTTTAAACTTTGCCTTCAGACTCTTCATAGTGGTTTGATGGCCTCTGTCTCAACAGGAACACTGCAATGGAAAAAGCAGATTACAAAGTTAAGCGCCATCGTAGATTACAGCGTATATAGTGTATATAACTAACCATCAGTGGTGGAAGAAGTGTTCAGATTCTTTACTCAAGTAAAAGTAGCAATACATTGATGGTTAAATACTCTGTTGCAAGTAAAAGTCCTGCAATCTTACTTTAGTAAAAGAACAGAAGTATTATCAGCAAAACTAACTTAAAGTATAAAAAGTAAAGGTGGTAATTCTGCAGAAAAATGGCCTCCATGTGCATTTATTATAATGACATTTGTACATAATATGATCATATTGTTGCATCAAGTAGCCTTTTACTCTTGTAGATAAATAAAGTTGTGATACAACAAATTATTGGCTTTTTGTTATAGGATAATTCTACTTTTTTGGACCTTAAACAGTGAGTCCATTAGTTTATTGGTTTGAGATGCATTATGTTAAAGGTTCTGAAAGGTAGTTAATATATTAAACAGATGTAATAGAGTAAAAGTTGTGCAGTAGAAGTAAGAAGTAGCATTACATGAAAATACTCAGGTAAAGTACCAAACTTGAGTACGTGTACTGAGTTACTTTCCAACTCTGCCAACCATGACTCATTAATAGAGAGTGGTAGGCCACCTGCAACATGTGGGTGCACCAACATCTTTGGCAATACATAGGGAATATACCAACACCAGACTAACATATACTCTAATAATGGCGTCAACACACGTGTATTTAAACGGACCTGCAGAAACAGCCTACCTGTGGAGGACAGTCCGGCTCCAGGTGAGTCAGGGTTTCCTCTGTCCCATCAGCGGAATACAGTAAAAACACAGGAGGCTCACTGCTGTCTGGCGTACAGCAGGAAATAACCCGCCCCTATCGTAAATCAACCAATCAGCAATGCGCAAAACGCCGGATCAACGTTCGATTGGCGATGATGGATGGGTGAAGGACGTGGAGCATATTTTATGTTGTATTTGTTTAAAGTGCAGTGCTGTTATTTTGTGTTTAACAGGCTGCTGCTGTACAATGTAAATTAGCATCCAGTCATGTAGCTTGCAACTTGTGTCAGCTCATCGAGCTCACTCTTCAACACCGGGGGGTTCTGGGAAAGTTGTTAGCCAATCACTGGAACGTTAAAATGAATGTAACCAATGGCAACACTGGAGGAGCTGAATCCGGAAGTAGATACTTTTGTACTGTAAGGAGAGGTGAGTGAAAACAAATAATAAATAGTGAATTACGGGCTAATTTAAATGTTATTCGACTATTTTAAGGTTTAATAAGCTTTCATCATTTATTAGTTAGATATTTTACTGAAGTCTGGTCGTTAAAGGCTCCTTTTTACCTCAATGTATCTACGCTCCTCAGTTTTAGGTTAGCCTAAATAATAATAATAACTTTATTTATTTACTTACTTTACTTTCATGCAAGATGCAGCCCAAAGTGCTTTACATAGCAAGATGAGATACAAAAGAATATAACAATGAGTAAAAAATAAAGAGTGAGAAATTCAATATAATAATATAAATAATATAAAAAATAAATTAATAATAATATTTAAAAAAACAAGTTATAAAAGCAAAACAGAAAGAGTTAGAGATCACAAAATAATAAAACATGTGATACACTAGAATTACCCCAAATTAAAAAGATAGGGCTTTTACTTACTTTTTAAAATTCAAAGGGAGTGTGCTGTTCTAAAACCCAATGTAGGCTATATTTAATTTGAACACACTTTTAATTGAAATGAGTCTTCCTTCTGTTGTTGTAAACAAATATAATGGGTGCTTGCAATACACATGAACCACCAAATGAGGGCAGTACATGCACAGCAGAGGAAACTAGAAATTAATACAGCACTACAAGTCTATCAAAAACCTATTTTCCAGCCCATAAATTAAACCGAGAGACTCATTAAAATCAAATGCATGACTTTGAAAGATACATGTGTTGATGTGTGTCAGGTTGTTCATGAATCTGATGCTGTACATCATGTCTGTTTGCCTCTTATATTAATGAATGATGCTGTTCAGCTGCAAGAGAACTGAAAGCGTGAAGTTTGAGACAATGTCACATCCATATTTAGTCCTTTTTAATGAGGAAGTCTTATTAATTCTCAGAAATAATTCTCTGCGCCTTGTTGCTTCTGTTTGATTCAATTAAATCTTTGCCTCCTATATGCAACAGTGCTTCTGCATGAAAAACAATGACTGTATACCTGTCTGTCTGCCTGTTTGTGATTATCCCTCACTGTGAGAGATCCTGATTTTCCATTTCTGTTTCCCTCTCCCCTGCGCTCTCCATGTGTCTTCCTCTTGCTGTCTGACAGCGCGCCTGTCTCTGTTTTTCCATCTCTTGCACAGATTCAATGTTTCCTCTTCTGTTCTGGCTCTCACCACAGCCTGGATGGGGACGCAAATGAAATGTATGCCCAGTATGTTACAGGGCTGTGGGGGGGTTAGAGGTGGTGTTAAGACTAAGCGGATTGTGCTGATGAAAAACAGGAATGCAAAGCTGAGGGGAGGGAAGACAAAGAACATTGCTGGTACATTCAAAGATATGACGAGAGATAAAAATGCCAAAGAATGGCAGAGGGGGGGGGGGGGGGGAAGAAAGATACAGGAACGCTACTGAAGTCCCTGAAGAGCCAAAAGATGCATTTCTGTAACATCTGAAGAAAAACTTGTGGGAAGAAGTTATTATCTTATGGGATCTTGTGTTCTATGTTGTGCCAACAAGATCTGACTTGATCTCTGGATCTCATTCCCAGAAGATAAGACCTGTATCACAACGTATTGATCTTGTTCCCACAGGAATATAACTGGATCACACTTTGGGTCTTGTTCCCTCGAGATAATGTTGTCTACCAATCTTGATCTGCTAACGCATAAAACACATATGTGTAGTGCATGGAGAAGAAGACATAAACAGGTATAGGAATCTGGGGGTTTTCTGGAGAACTTATTTTCCACTGTAACACTTTTGACAGGCCTTTGTCTCGGATGATGTCATGTAATCGATCCTGTCTTCACGTTTACAGCCTCACTGCTGTAACTGATTTAAACTGGACTGCAGGGACCTTCAAGATGTTTGCAATCACACACCCTTCTCTCTGGCTCAGATTGGGACTTGTTCTTGATCCCCATGACCCTCCTTCAGGTCTGAAGCCGGTGCTTGATGATCACTGGAGCAGGCGGAGGAGGAAGATGGGATAATGTGGATGGTGATTGTGATGGGGGGGGGGCTTCTTCAGCTGGATGACCTCATCCAGTCTCCCCGCCCCTGGGAAAAAGTGAGCTCATGAGTGTCATAAAGAAAGAGGCATTTACGGTCTTTTAACAGACTTAGATGGCCTTACCCACTGTAGCACACAATCCAATTTACCCGCCTGGACCTGGGATAATGGAACATCTGTGAAAGGATGAAACAAAAGGAATGAACACTCAACAAAATGCCTTATTTTTCTATCAGATTGGACAGGCCTCAGTGGTTTTGTCATCTTGTTTTGGTGTCTACACTACAGCACTGTGTCCCAGATGATGAGGGGATTTTCTTACATTCCCAAACCTTTTTTGAGGAAGCATATAACCGTTTTGTAAACTATACAATAGAGGATAAGAGCCACATGAGACTTGGTTTTTGGGGGGATGTGAAAAAAATCTCTGAATTCTGACTTTTTTCTCAGAATCCTCACTTTTATCTCAACATCTCACATTTGTTTTCACATGTGGCCCCAATCCTCTTCCGTAGTAAACACTTCAGGGCTTTTGTAGACTTTCCTTGTTTTGGGAAAAAGTGCAAAAAATCATTACAAATCCCTTCAGTGAAGCTAAAACAAGAAAATACTCCAGTGATAAATAATTCAAATGCTTGGAGAACATTCGTGCGAGCTGCTTTCTTTCCTCCTCAGTTTTGTTCGTTGGTTTTCCCCATGCATTTATAGTGAAAATGAAAGGAGATGCATCTCGTGTTGCAGTCGATGTGCAGATATTTCAATGAATGAACGGTCGGCTGACTGCGAAAGGGAATAGGAGGATATTCCTGTGGGAATGAAGCGCCTCCCCTTTAATCGCTCGGCTGAGTTTGTCTCGGAGCTGTAGTCGCTCTCTGCACTCGCACATTTGCCGTCAAGAACTCAGCACGGGATTTCAGAGCTCTTGTTTTTGTCCCTGAAAGCTGCTGTTTTTTCCTTTTTCCTGTGTTTTTGTGGAATATAAAGCGCCTGGAGTGGAGGGTTTTATCGCTTCTTTGTGCCGTTTTATTATCATCGTCATGAAGAAACGCGGAATAAAGCGTTCAAAGTGGCTGAAGGACTGAAGGCTTGGTAAGTGAGTGCGCTCTACTACTCACATGCGATTTAAATCCACTGTTTTGGTGACTGAGTGATTTGACTTTAAGTTTAGGAAAAAACATCTTATTTCCTGGACAAAGCTTCCCAAATAAGCCTGTTCCAAAAGTAAACATGTTGCATTTAATGTTGGTTAAAATCCAAACATTTTAATCCATTTTAATTTATTTAATTCCTCATAGTTTAGTATAGATATTCTCATACAGTCATTGTGTTCCCCCCTTTTTTGATCAGCGTGTTAACGTTGGATTTTATTGCAGGGGTGTGAAATGTGATTGCATCCTTTGGGCAAAGTCCAGATGCCAGACGTTATTGCCCCCTGCGTAAAACAAAAGGAGTGTGTAAAGCCCAGCTGTTGGTGTAGTTTAATGTCACATGAAAGCATGTAAACGCACACTTGTGGGGGCTCTGTGATCAGGAGGAAGTTTTCCATAATTATTATACAAGGATCAGGACCTGTGGATTATTATTTTTCTTGGTTGGATGTGTTTATCTCTCTTTTATCTTGTCCAATCCATAACTGCAACAGAAATGAGGTCACGCATTAACCTGCATGTCCCTGTTTGCCCCTGCAGCCTCCTGCTCTCACTCCTCCACACACCACCGTTTGGACGCTGCGATGGCCAAGTGGCTGAAAGACTACCTGAGCTTTGGCAGCAGGAAGGTTCCTCCACAGCCACCCACACCAGACTACACAGAGAGCGAGATCCTCAAGGCGTACCGGCTCCAGAGGGACATGGACTTCGAGGATCCCTACGAGGACTCGGAAAGCAGATCCAGGGGTGAATCTGGGACTTCTGACCCCGCCACACCGGTGTACGGCTCTCCCATGAAGTCCTCCACCGTGGACGTGAAATCCCCCAAACACAGACTGATCAAAGTGGACTCTCAGGAGCTGGGCCGCACAAAGATCCTCCTCAGTGCCGTGTCTTTAGACGACCAGCAAGAGCCTGTAAGAGCCTCACTTTCTTTCTCAGCATGTGTTCGTACACTGAAAAAACTTTACTTTAATTAAATGTATTATGTCAATATATATAACTGTAAGAGGTTAGTTGAAAGCAATTATATTAAGTTGAACCAAATATATTTTATTTATACTTGATATTATTGGTCTCAACTTTCCTAATACAGTTATCTGAGATCTGTTGACATTAATTAAAGTCAACGTTTCAGTGTTTTCAATGTAGTTTAATGCAAAAAGCAGATCATCACACATTTAATTCCTTATTTGGAATTGGAGAGAATTGGATGGATGAAGGGAATGCAAGAACGTCATGAAGGATGAAAAACACTCTTCATCTAATCCCCTTTCCATCACCGTGACATCCTTTATTGATTAGACTCCATAAGCAAGTGACTGGTAATGTGAGTCTCAAATATGCATTGTTTACATAAATCACATTACATCCCATGCGCCGCATAAATCCGCTCCCGTGGATGGAAGAAAGAATTATTGATGGCTGGATCGGACCATTGAGTCGGAGAGGGTCACAGTCCCGGGAGTTTATGTCCTTCCATAAATAATAAATGGGGTTTAGTTTTTCAAGCTGAGAGAGACCCCCGCTTGAGCACATGTTAGGGGCCATATACAGTCACCATGCGGAGATATGCCAAGGGCCACAGGGGGGTATAATTTATAGCTGTATGTGTCATCACTGCAGTGCTTTCCCTGCTGTGTACTGTGCATGTTGTGCTGTAGAGAGCATACACAGATACTGCACAGACAAAAAAAAGCAAACAGATGTTGAGTCTGAGCAACTGGAGCGGAAGCAAAGGCTTTACAAGGAAATGGTCTTCACATCAATTCAGCTCACATATGCTGAGTAAGTTAAGGAGTATTTCAGGGATTTCATCGCTGCAGTTAAATCCATGACTCCGCTCATGGAAAATGCTACAAGTGCGAAAGTCCCGAAGTGGATTGGAGTAATAGTCTTAACTCAAGTCGATAGCTTTCCCCCCCTTCTACTCCCTTCTGCACTCATTTATTTCCCAGGGTCTCTGGGAACGAACATCCGCACTCTAATTAACATTGCAGATTCCTGTGCATCGATAACCTGTTGTACAATCAACAGGGGATTAGAATGTCATTTTGTCAGGGCGTGTGCATGTTCACCAGGAATTTTGGGAAGTGAGCCTTGCAACAGTGACTTCCTTTGTCACAGAGTGAGACAGGGATGAATGTGTATGTGCTTGTGTGTATATGCACATGTATTTGTGTGTGTTTGTTTGTGAACATATGGCTGCCTTTGTTGCTGTCAGGGTGCCAGATGACCGCTGTTTTCCTCCTGTGCTTGCATGAAGGAACAAATGCTCCCAACCAGCCAACCAGATCTATCTATTACTCCCTGTGTTCTCTTCCCAAAGCCAAAAAAATCCCTCATCTACAGACAGGACTGTTTCTGGCTGCATTACATAAAGCGCAAAAATAGCAACAGACATAACATATTATCCCTTCTTTAAAGTGGACCTATCATGCTATATTTGAATAATATAGTGTAGGACCATACCTATATAAGGCATATTTATACTTTTTTTTTTTTCAAAATACCAAACAGATCATGCATTTTAGCCATGCCTCATTTTGCTCAATTTGACAATTTATAGCTCTGTTTTTGCAAGGGTTGATTTTGTGAGCAACAGCACCATCTACAGGCCTGGCATATGTACTACAGCGTCTCCAGCGCTTTCGAACGGCAATGGCCGTGGCTGTCTCCTCCTGATTGGTGGAGTTGGCCCAATAGCCGTAGCGCCACCGTCCTGACGTCAGGACAGTGTTCAAATCTGGATCAGTTTTTATCAGATCTGTTGCAGCCCCTTTTTTAGAGATTTGGGTATGGAGGAAAATAGAGAGGGTTGTGTTTTCTGACACTTGGTGAGTTCCCTGGAACACCGGGGACACATATTCATGTATAAAAGACAAAAAGTGCATTTTGCATGATAGGTCCCCTTTAAGGGTTTTAAGAGGGAACTGTATTGTGCGGCTACTACGTATACCGACCATTAGTTTGCTTGTGTGATTTTGCACCCTAAAGATGCAAATGAGTATCTTGATGATCCTCAAAAAGCGTTTTGTCTGTAACCAAACATATAGTTAAGGTGCCATTCAGCGAGGATGTGATTGCTTGTTAGGAGTGTTGCACTGCTCTCTCTTTGTTGGGTCTTGATGAGCTATTGTGTTCCTTTCTAGCAGTTACATGTAACACAGAGTGCAAACTCTTAATTATCAGAAAATATTCAGATTCCTAGGACGCTTTTACTCAAGTGTGTCAATCAAAAGTGTGATTAACGATTCGCAGCTTTTACAGAATGCTGATATGAAATCGTCAAAGCCTATAATTACAATGTTGTGCCTGCAAGAAAGAACCTTTCAGATATTTGTGTTCATTTTATAACATAAAAAACACTGGAGACATTTTTCTCCAACAAAGACAAGTTAATGATCTGTGACCAAACCCATTTACCCTCATCACTAAGTGTGTGTTTTGTCCTTCAGGTGGTGCCGTCTGCTCCGCTGGCAAGAGACACGGATTATTCGGACCCGTTCGATGCTCACATGAGCCACAGGTCAGAGCCGGACCTCAGAACCGTTCCCTGCGAGAACAACGGCTACATGGAACCGTACGAGGCTCAGAGGGTCATCACAGGTCAGTGGGTTCATCAGTCGCTATCTTATCAGTCTTATAATGATTCAGTGAGTTCTTGTTATCATACAGGAAAAGCTTCTTTAGCAAATATACAGACAGGAGGAAGAAGAAGGCGAGGCATCAACTTTCCTCCGACTGAAGCTCTGAGTGGCTCATAAAATCTGCTCGGTAATACTAAAAATAACATATGTAAGGTGGGGAAAAGAAACAATGCCAGGTAGAGAAACAATTTCATTTTCCTTTACTGCTTCCCTTAGTTTTATCTCTGATAGTTAGCTCCATAATTGCATTCATAATACGAGATTAAGCTCTTACCTCCCAGTCTGTTATTATATTGCATTTCAGGTGCACAAACTCATAACAAATATGGATCTGTGGCATCTAATAATATCAACATTGATCTGATAATCTGTATTTGATGACCGGTCAGAACTTTATCTCCCCCTCCTTTTTCCATTATAGTCAATTATTTCTGCCTTTACAGAATAATGCATCCTTATTTCTACATGTTCTTCTTTCTAAAAAAACTGGTATTTAGTGCAGTATTGCTCTTTAAATCTATTTGATTGACTCCACTTGTGAATACACAGTTCTTCTCTGCTGTGTTAACCTGTCCACTCCACTGTGTTTGTTTATCGTTGGCTCTCAGCCGCACAACACTTCCCGTCAGACACGTCTCTCCAGTCTCTCCCTTGTGATTGTCTCCCACATCCTCTAGCTCACATCTATCCTTTTCCATTTGCCTCTCAGCCTATAACATCTCTGTCTGCCCCTTTCCCCCCCCCCGCAAGCTCCCTGCTCTGTCCCAGTCATTTAGTGTAAAAGCGCCCCCCCCTCCTCTTTCTCCATCTCTCTTCATCTGGAGGGCTCTCCCGATGCCCCGAGGGGAGTCTGGCTCTCTCTATAATCGGTCCTGTTTCCTAAAATCTATGTCCTGTCCTCTCTCAGTTGGCCCTTTCGCTGCCTTTTTGCTGGTCAAATGAAGTTCGTAAAATAACAGGCTCGAAGTGAATGGAGTCCCGATTGAGAAACCTTGAGGAAAATCTTTCTCTCGCTGCAGCTGGAGAGATTAGATTGTTGCGTTGATGGCAGAGCGTTTTTTTGGAAAAGCATTGTCACCGCTCTTTCATTGACTTTGAATTTGGCCTGTCAATCAAGAGCTGCCTGCTTTTGTCTGTCTGTCTTTCAGCATGTTGGTGCTCATTAAAAAAGCAGCAGAGCAGCAAAGACAGATGTGAGATTGGAATAGTAGTCTCTCACAGGGACTGTCCTGAAAAGACACCTGTGTGCTTTCCGTGAGTTTCCGTGCTAATAGTTAAAAGATTATAAAAGACCTGTCTGGCCTCTGACACACATCTGTACGCCTAAACACTTCCCGTCGCCATCACCTCGATCTTCAATCTATGTCAACTCTCTGTCAAATTGCTTTTTTTCCTCTCCCCCCCCCCCCCCCCCCCCTGCCTGTGTTTTCCTCCATTATGTTTCCTATGAAATTCTCATTTTATTTCCTCCACGCCTGCTTTTATCTCTTCGCCTTCATCTTCTCCATCTCCGGGCTGTCGTGACACCGCGGGTTCCCAGAGCAGGTAGAGCAGCCCGCTGTGCTTCTGTCTCAATGACTTAACATCAAACGCCGACATAACCCCCCCCCCCCACCAGCACCTCACCCCCCTTGTTTCCTCACTGCTTCCTTTTCCTCTTCCTTTCTCCACAACCTCCTCCTCCTCCTCTCTCCATTTCCCCCCTCCACTCTCTTCTTCATAACCTCGAGGCCCCTTCCCCAGGGCCTCCACTTGGTCGCCATGGTGACTACAGGGCCGACCCAATAGCGTTGTCTTGAAGGTTAAAGTTTTTCCCCGCCTTTCACCAGGGAACCTTTCCATTGAGTTCCTTTTCCTCATGCGACTGCTCCTCCTATGCTGCTGGCTGTGTGCACAAAAGATGCCGACTCCTTCATTTCCCCCCAAATTTCTTTCCTTCTGTACCACCTGTTTTTTTTTTTTTTTTAAAGGCTGCACTTTTGAGGTCAACATATCAAAGCGCCATCGCTGATTGCCGCCGCCGCCGCCGCAGCTTAGAGGCTCCTATTGATGCATTTAGAAATCAGATTTCATCCTCTTGCCTGCATCGATAATCTCAAAGCCTTTTTATCTCATGGCCATATTTGACTCCACACCACAAGTGCTGAGAAACATTTCTGGCAGGGAACCCACTGAGAAACTGATGAAAATGTTAACGAGGGAATACGGACGCTGTTGTGAGCCGGGCGAGATTGCTGCTGGGATTCAGGAGGAGGGGTGGTAGGGGCGGGGGGGGGGGTTGTTGTCTAACGTGTTTGCAACTCAGCATCCAGCCCAAGGCCTTGTTAAGCCCTCTTATATGAGATTCTGAGCCCCCCGGCAAACTGTGCAAACATAATTTATCTCGTCTCTAATTCTAGTCATGTCAGAGCTCAACAGGCTTCTTGTTTTACTCTGTAGAATATCAATCTTGTGTTTAGGAGAATCGCTACTGGCAAATATTATTTCCTAATGTTGCCGGTTTATACCTGTTACACATCCACAAAGATTGAAATGTGTAGGTGTCTCGTTATGAATCTGTGTTAACTTGTGTATTCATAATAGAGCTGCAGCGAGGTCCAGGAGGAGGGCGGTCGCGGGGCGAGGTTCAGCTCTACGACACCCCCTATGAGGATGAGAGGGGCCGGCGCCTGGGTCTGTTGTACGGAGACCCTCAGGAGGAGGGCAGGGAGAACAGCCGGCTGCCGCAAGACGACGAGAGGCCGGCTGACGAGTACGACCAACCCTGGGAGTGGAAGAAGGATCACATCTCCAAAGCTTTTGCAGGTAACTGGAAGAAATAAGAGAATATTCTGACAGACACAAATCAAGGTGGAGCAGAGTCTGGGAAAGACCATCTCATAGCTATCTATTTGCGTTACAATAGATAGCTCTCCTTCAATGATCTCTTCCTACATCTGAGTGGAGACATTCTCTATGACCTTCGCTGTCACTGGTCTTTGTTTGTGTTTTGAACTGGAAAACATGGCCTCTGTTCTGGGAAGATTCTAATGTATTCAGGGAATCGCTTTATGAATACATTTAAAACGGGTTGAGACCAGGGAGCTTCTAAATCATGCTTCATTGTATATTAAAATATATTCAGAGCATATATAGAAGCTTTTAGCAAACATGAAGGCTTTCAGATGGAAAAATATTGTTTACTGAAACCCAGTTGGATGCTGAATTGATATTATCTTTGACCAAAACAATGATTCCCTACCACAGACTGTACACACAGCTCCTGGAGTTTCTGGGTATCAAGAATAGACCATAAGGTATCTCAAAAATATTTGTTCTGTTAGTGAAAATGGTTGAGACTAGGTTTAAAAAAAGGGCTGTTTTAAAGGTCAAAGCCTCCCAGGAGCACACAGAGATCCCTGCTGCTGTTACTACATAGTGAAATACTCATCTAACTGTCCTGACCTTTAATGCAGTGTCTGCCCCCATCACTACATCTCCATAGGCTTGTTTTTCAGGAAATGGAGAGGGCTGTGACCTTCACTGTCTAATGACACAAATCTTTAACTACATTTAAACAATTTCTGGTGACTTTTAATTTCTCGCTCGCTTCCATTCGATGATATATAAGATTGAAATAGATGTCTTGTGTGTGTGTATATGCATGAGAGAGATACAGACGTCATGAAACAGAAAGCAAGGTTCATTTTCTTTCATTATCGTGGTATTACGGGCTGTATTTCTACAATAATTGGTGCAGAACATGATTATATTTTTCAGAGTTGCACTGACAGTGCATGTCACATCCTATCTCATTATATTCCATCTATTGAATATAATTGGAGGCAGAGAGTGCAGTGGAAGTAAGAGAGACGGAGCAGTGAGGAGAAACAGAACTGGACTGATGGGTCATTTAGGAGTGGATCAGTGTAAGGCATGCAAGGCCAAGTCGGCTTAATTGAGCTGCATCTCCAAGTCACCAAGGTCAAGGTGATGGGATAATAACTCAACCTCGCCTCGAATGCACTCCCCTCCGTTCCCCCTCTCCTCCCCTTTGTGTGCACCCCCCCCCCCTCTCGCCTAAGTTAATTACACGCCTGCATGTGCACGACTGATCCAGTGCTAATAAGAGAGTCATGGTCAGCACACCATTGTCTGAACACACACACACACACACTCGGAGACATTCACACCGTGTTCAGACTCAAATCACATTCAGAGGAGCAGCAAGGAGACACCGTAACTTATTTGAGAGCGGAGATGATTTCAAAAGGAGGTGCAAGACAGTTCATTTAAAAGCCAATACCACCTCTTACCTACTCATCCCTGCTCTTTCTGTCATTTTTCTTCCTTTGGACCTTGTTCCTCTTTGTGCCACATACAGTACGGGCTCCTGCAGAGCAGCGCTCGCAGCACCATTACAGAGCGCGGTGGAGGAAAACGCTCCAGTCGTCTGACCCCTTGTTTTTTTCCATTTGGAGTCAGCACTCTGAGCTGGCGTGCTGTCAGTCCGAGCAGACCAGAGCACTGAAGTGTAAACACGCAAACAGTATTTTCCATTCTCACATTTAATCCATATACCCAGATCCACTCAGTGTTGCTAGGCACGGCCCACATGTGAGCGAGGAGAGAGATGGAAAAGATTGAAAGAGATGTGGGAGAGACAGAGAAAATGCATAGGCTGTGGAGGGAGCCAGAGGGAGAGAAATGGAAAGGGACGTCCAAGGTTATGGTATGTTTGGTGGCATCTCAATGGATGTTTGTGGAGGCCCTGGGCTCCATAGGGGAGGGGCGTCGAGGAGAATTAATGGTCGGGGGCTTTGGCGAGGTGAGATGCAGGGAGAGGAGGGGGAGTCAGGGCCATTGTGGCAGGGTGCAATCCGTCATCCGCCAACACAGGCGCACTCTCTCACACATATACACAGCCGCAGAGACAGGGCTGTCCCCGCTCCCCGTGGATGTGACACAGCCACTCAGATAACCCGCTGCAGGGGGCAAAGGGGGAGGGGGGGGCGGCATCGCAATCTGCCAGCAGCCCCTCATCATCACCTTCACACGGGCGCATGCACACACACACATGTGGATTCTCAACTCCAGCTCTGATGATCAGGGCCCTCTAATTCAAGGGTGAGAAGAGGTTGTGTGCTTATTGGCACAAATGGGGGAGGGAGGGGATCGCTGGTGCGTAGCATCCATGCACTTCGGAATCAAATCTCTAATTAGGATTTCACAGCTTATCCATGCTTAAAAGTAATCGCCTGGGTAAATATAGCATGTGGCTGCTTTTATTCAAATCGTATCAGAAATAAGCTCGCCTCCAAAGCATTTGATGTGTTTTCCCTTGGACATGGAGTCCACTAACCCCAGCTGTGTGAGGGTGACTCCAGCGGTGCCCGAGGGCTCGGACGTGACAGGCCTCTCTCAGTTTGCAGGGTTTTAATTGCAGCGTTAGAAAGCTGTCACAAACCATTCACAAACGTCCAGCTCGAATGACCGGAGTCATTCATTCTTGGAAGTCAATAGACAGTCCAGCAGTGAAAGATTGTCCCTGCAACCATTCAGCGCTAATTAGTGAGCTAATGAAAGGCACAATCTCATTCTCTCTCTGAAGCCCGCACATAATGAGCAGATGAACGGGTGTTTCAGGTATTTCATGTTTGTACGTTTTATAGTCCGTTAGAGGAGCTCTGAGCCGGTTGATGAAGATGATTGTCGGCCTGAGGTGGAGAAGTGTACGGATGATTAGAGAGCCTCAATTTGGACGAGGAAGTTGAATGAATAACATTTCCACCCCCAGAAATGACTATTATTGCGCCATTGAGAAAAGCACTTATCCTCCACTTGTTCCAGTGCAGCTGCTCATTAGGAAACAGAAAGATAAGCGCCGTGCAGAGAAGCTCCAGAGTGTGAATGTGTGCGTCATAACAAGAAGACCAGGGTTTTAAAAAAATGCTTTCTTTGTCTGTTCAGATAAACTCTTTGCAGCACAAAAACACAAGTGGGTATCCTTGTTATCCTATAGTTTATTTTATAGTTTGTGTGATAAACATATTGCTTAATTTAAAATAAATGCCTGTTTGTTTGCTGTACTGTGCATACAGTATAGATTGAGCTTTTAGCCACAGTGTTGCCAGACTGAAACATCTCAACAATTACTGGATGGATTGTCAAACCGATATTCATGGTGCTCAGAGGATGAACCCTTCTGACATTCGTTACCCCTAACTTGCAACAAAGAGGTTGACATTTTACATTCGATGGGCATGACATTTGGAACAGATATTCATGTTCCCCAGAGCATTTGACTGTCATAGTTGTTGTGATCCTAACACACTATGATCAAGTGAAAGTTTTACTCTGTTCAAAGGTTTGGTTTATGACCAAATGGCCTCAAAACTAATTCTCAACGTCTACGTTTTTAGGGCTAATGGACTAATGTTAGAATGCTAGCAGGTTAAAGCTAGATACAGAGCATGATAAACTGTTAATCTAACTACCAACCATCAGCATGTTATTAATGTCATTGTGAGTTGTTACATGCTGATGTCAGCACCGCTGTGCCTTTGCAGCATCACAGATCTGCTAGCATGGCTGTTTAATTAAGGCTTTTTTTACCAACCAGATGTTTAAAAACTGGGGAATTGAGTTACATTTTGTAGGAAGGCAATACATTCAGGAAGAAAGACAGTTTTTCATAGAGGGCCATGAAAATACAGAGCCGTATTAGAAGACCAAATCCATTCTTTTGTAAAATAGGACTGTAGGCTGGATGCTAAAGGGTGCTTTAAAGTGTTCATGCATACAGAGGCAAAAGCTGAGGTTAGCAAAGCTTGCAAAGACACCGTGACGGATGATCCCTCATTGCATGTGTTCTGTCTGCATGTCTGGATACTTGTGCTCTTACAAGGATTCCTGGGCTAGGCTCCATGTGTGTAAGTCCCCATAGGAGAGGCAAATGTATTTCTGTATGTCTGCAGACAAAGGTGAGCAAAATAAATATAAAATGAGATTTCCATTTCTGGTGTTATGCTGCTCTCTGTTGCTCTAAGCAGACCCTGGGGGCTTCTTCCCAGCCTCTTCATCAATTTACCGACACAGTGAAAGGTCTCTTGTTGCTCTCTCCTTTCCTCTTTGTCTCATTTCCTCTCACTTGCCTCTTCCCTTCTCCCCATCGCTTTGTTTCCGTCTCCTTCAGCGTGAACCTTAACTGACGTTAATGAAAAGGCATGTCCTTCGCAATTCCCTCTTCCCGACCAATATGAGAGACGAGTGGAGAGGTGATGGAAGTGGAGTAGGGCACGAGAGGTGAGGAGAGGATGGAGGGAATAAGGAAAGAGAGATAATGCCCTTTGAGGAACTTAGGTGAGAGAGAGGCAATGAGAAACAGAGGGATGTATAGCTCAGAGAAAGCAGTGAGAGCTTCAGGAAGCGCTGGAATGGATACATGAATATCTAGGAAACATGTCTCTCAATCTTAAATCTGTGGATCCAAACTATGAAAGGAGAACTTGTATGCATGTGTGTTTCCTTCTTATTCTTCACTGGCAGAAGGTGTTACTTGTCTGTCCTTATGTCGGCCATTTCGCCCAGCAGAAGGTCTTTGTGGGCAGAAAGAAGATGGGGATGCCAGGGCTGTTAAAAAAACAGATGTCTTCATTAATGGACCTGACGAAGCTGTTCTATTGTCTTTGTCTCCTCACAGACACAGACAACAGCTGGTGTGCTCGAAATGTCAGTTATCCGTCATTCAAGGTGAAAGGTCTGCTCACCACCCCCCCCCCTCAGATACATTTCTGGTAATTGTTAGCAGGTAGTTGAGGCAGGGATTTTGGGAGACCACGATTGACTGAATTGCTGCCGCCTGTTGTATCAGCTGGCTTTCAAAGGGAGGCAGAAGTGATGGGAAAACACACGTCTTTGTTTTAGCACACGATGAATACGGTGTAGAGGATTTTAACACAAATCATCACTATGCAGATGAGAGCGCGCCTTTGTTCGTAAACCATTAGTGTGTCTCTTGTGTTGGTGAACAAAGCAGAGCGCACTCACTGTTAGCCCTCTATGGAAGAGAGATCCACAGGTTGCCCCATTAGAAGTGAATGGGAGCCAGATGTTCCCTTTTGTGTGTGTGTGTGTGTGTGTGTGTGTGTGTGTGTGTGTGTGTGTGTGTGTGTGTGTGTGTGTGTGTGTGTGTGTGTGTGTGTGTGTGTGTGTGTGTGTGTGTGTGTGTGTGTGTGTGTGTGTGTGTGTGTGTGTGTGTGTGTGTGTGTGTGTGTGTGTGTGTGTGTGTGTGTGTGTGTGTGTGTGTGTGTGTGTGTGTGTGTGTGTGTGTGTGTGTGTGTGTAGTGTGTGTGTGTGTGTGTGTGTGATGTGTGTGTGTGTGTGTGTGTGTGTGTGTGTGGTGGTGTGTGTGTGTGTGTGTGGTGTGTGTGTGTGTGTGTGTGTGTGTGTGTGTGATCAGATTGAGGAGCTCAGGCAAGCTTTATGTGTGTGTTTGCATGTTCATCCTTTTGAAGTGAAAAAAAAGCTGCCACTCTTAAAACTGAGTCCTAGGTACCTTAACTGTTACAACATGTTTTGTTTATTTATTTCATTTGACTTTGTGGTTTTATCTTCTTAGTTGAGATGCATTAAAGGTGGGGTAGGTAAGTTTGAGAAACCGGCTCGAGATCGCTAGAATTTGAAAATACACAACCGGAAAAAATCTGCCACTTCCTTACAGAGCCCCTCCTCCAACACACACGAACGTGCACATGACCAATGAGGGCACGAGATAAGTCTGTGCACAGATGGAAGGCTGACAGGCAGGTAGGCCATCCAGTTATTTTAGCCGGGCCGGCTCAGATGATTGGTCGTGCTTTTTACAGTACTACGGCTTCCACAGATGACATTTTTTAATGGATTTTTTGTCAAAGCACTTAAGATATTCATTGCTATCGGGATGTTAAGAGCATTCCATGGAATATAACAAAAAGTGTATCTCGAGCCGGTTTCTCAAACTTACCTACCCCACCTTTAATGTTTGGATCCTGGACTCGAGGACGCTCTCATCTACTGGTTCTCTTTTGACTAGTTTTTTAGCTGGAGGTTAAATGCTGGGATGAATGATGCTTTGACAAGATAACCATGTATACCCTGTGCCCAAAAGACCTTGTGTCTAAGAGCTTGTGTAGATGAGTGATCTGTCTATTCCATTTATTGTGAGTTGACCAAGATAATTAAAAATGGAAGCCAGAAAAACAAGAAAATGCTTTAACGGCCATGTCCAAAGCCAACATCAACAATGTGGATAAGACAGTGGAAACAATTGTGGAAATCATCTCACCACCACTTTCAATTTAAGTGAGGAAAAACACATTTTAGGATTCGAGAGCACTGGACATTAGTGGTTAAGAGACCACAGCCAATGAAAAATCAAAAAAGGAAGAAGAATCTTTTCCCACCTGAGCCTATCTCTCTCTTTGATGGCTGAGCACATTTCTGATCCGTAATAAATTGTCTTGGCTTTCTCCATTCCCTCTTGTTACTCTCATTTACACCCTTCTCTCATTCTAATGCCTCTCTCTCAGCTCTACTCGACAATTACAGGTGTGAAATGTGATGTGGTGGTGAGGGGGATAGGCTGCAGAGTGTGGCAGCGGAGGTGTTTCTGAGTGTCAGGTGTGTGTGTGTGTGTGTGTGTGTTCCTGCATGTCCTCCCATTCAGGGGTGCCAGGCCACACTTTCATCCTGGCTTTAGCGGAGGTGCGGCCCACTCCAGATGGGGCCATTGTGCTGCGCCATGCATCAATAATTCACAGAGAGCCAGAGAAAGTGGCGGAGTGTGTCTGCCTGCTCAATAATTAACCAGGGAGGGAGAGAGAGGCATGTATGTACAGCCCGGGTCCCTCTCAAACACCCATTCAAATGGCCCTTTGATGTCGCAGGCCTTGAGGGTCTTTGGATTCGCCGGCTCATTAAGATGTCACCCCTCTTTCCCTTTTATTTGTTTTGTAATCCACTTGCGCCGTGAGCAGGAGCTGAACATACGGTGTGAAACTGGCATACTGTGTGTGTGTGTGTGTGTGTGTGTGTAAGGCTGCAGTAATGACTGTTAAAGTAGATGCTTGCCTGCTATGGTAGATAATGAGCTATTTTCAGTTTCTGTGCCCCTCCTGTGCTCTCCTAGGTAGGACAGTGAGCGGAGCATTATTCTGCCCACACGCTCCTCACTTCCTCTGTCACACCGCACTGTGGGATGCACAGTTTCTCAAAGTGGATTCGTTCAAGTGACTATAAATAATGCAGCCTCTGACTTCCCCTGTCCTCTCTTATCACTCATGATAAATTACTGCAAATATAGCATCTGAAGAATATGTTTTGCCAGCGATGAAGCAAAGAGAGTATATTACTTCTCTTTATGACAGGAGGTAGCGTTAATAACATCTCACGATCCAACATCTCTGTCATTCCCTCACACACTCTCAACCCCCCCTTCCACTTCTCTCTCCTCCTCACATTCCGATCTTGCACCTGATTTCTTCATCACTTTCTCTCCCACATCTTCCTTTAGTTCACTTTGATGTAGCCCATCTGCTGTTTTCTCACTTTGCCGCTTTTTCTCTCGCCATCTCCCCTCTCCCATCTCCTCTATTTAGAAATGAGGGATTTGTCCGAGTTGCCCTGGCCCGCGCCGGTGGGTCATCTGGAGGAGGAGCCCACCGCCAGAGAGCAAGGTGACCTCCCACCCTGAAAACAACCCTCCCCCCCCCATCCCTGCCTCACCTTATCTCCACACATACAGTCACCCTGACCTCCATGACCCATGCTACATCTGCTCTAACTCCACCCTAACCCCCCCCTGCAGGTGCATCTGCACCACCTGCCTGTTGCTTTCTTTGGGTTTAAAGCTCTTTTCTTACCACATTCCCCTCCAGCATCATCCACGCATGACAAGCTTTGTGTAAATTAGGGAGACTGCCGTGTTCATTTCAAGGTTTTTAGAAGCGCTGTGCTACAATTATTGTTTAATTACAAGCTCTGTTGATTGAATTTTGCCAAGATACTGCACAGAAGGGGTAAATAAAACAGTCTGTTTACAGAATTTGCTCCAGGATCAAATCAAAGTTTATTTATATAGCCCAATATCACAAAACACTTTTGTCTCAGTGGGCTTTACAGAACACGAATGACAGTGCTACAAGATAAATACAATTACAAGAAAATAATAAAAAGGCAAGATAGAATGACAAATACAAATACATTACATTACATTACATTACATTGCATTTAGCTGACGCTTTTATCCAAAGCGACTTACAATAAGTGCATTCGACCAACAAGATACAAACTTGAAGAAAACAGAATCATATAAGTACATCAGGTTTCATAGAGATAACACATTTCAAGTGCTACTCAACTGGCTTTAGATAAGCCAGTCCTTTGTTAGTATATAATAATAATAATAATACAAATTAAAATGTAAAACAAAAAGCCAATAAAATAAAAAGAACAGTAGGAAAAACGTGGCGTAATCTCAAACCAGCTTTTAAAACAAAGTCTTCAGCACTCTCTTAAAAGTTTGGACACCGTCTGCCTCCCTTAATGAAAACAGGAAGTTGGTTCCAAAGAAAGAGAGCTTAGTAGCTCTGACTCTTGATCTGAAGAGAATAGAATAGAATCAGTATTGTCAACATAACGTTATCTGCAGTGTAAACTTTTGGAAGAAAGAGCAGAGCCGAGCAGGGAAACTTCCTGTCTCTATCTGCCCTGTGTGACTCTTAAAAATGTTGATAATGGTTATTGTGATGATAGTTTTGCAAACCGGGACCTCCTGTCTTTAGTCTGACCCCTCTCCCTCCGGCATGCCTGGTTTTGAAATAGCCGGATGTCTGATGTTTACCCAACTCTGGCTGTGAGGTTTAATCCCTTTTGATCACAGCACTGTGTAAACGCTCTGACTCACTTTTTCTGCCCACAGTGCAGTTTGACGGCGCAGATTGGGACCGCTCCTCGTCGCCCACGGATCGGCTTCGTCCTCCGGGGCCCAGGTCCAGCCCGCTGGCAGGAGGGGGGATGAAGTTTCGGTCGCCCCAGGAATGCCTCACCCTGGTGGGGGAGAGAGTGGACGCCACGCTGCCTCTGGAGAAGCAGGTGTATGTATGCTAGTCTTCTGTTAAACCCACAGGACCTACATTATAATACTTCAGTCGCTCTGTGTCGGAGTATAGACAACACTCTGGTTAAAGTTGAATCAAATTAGGAGGCTTACATGCTTGGGACTTCTGATAGTTAATGATTGAGGGTCTTCATTTAATTACATTGGATATAACACAGGATAAAGGAGTTGTCTTAAAAAAAGTAGTTATAGTACTGGCTATAGTTCACATCAGCTGTACCCACAATGCTGTGCAATATTGAAAAGTTGCAACTAAAGGACAGTAGGGAGTAAGATGTTTACGTTGCAGAAATATAGGATTAAATCATGTCTTTTGGTCTGAGATTTCATGTTTACATGCATGAAACAAATCTAAATTATGCAATTAGTTGCGCATGTAAATGCAATTAGCATAAATTATTATCTCTGAGCTGAACATGTAAATGTCTCTGCAGGGGCTCTCGTGCATTTATCATTCATTGTTATAACCGTGATTTAAAACATTTGAGGAAGCACACGTTTGTACATCCGACAAACAAATCCTAAACTCCATTACATTGCACCCCTTTGATCTATTACGGGCGTGGACACATTAACACGCAGCGGGTATGTGTTTCGGCTAAGCAGCACTCATCAGAGCTCACAGAAGTGCGAAAAGGTTAGAATGAGAACTAATTAAGTCAGACCATTAAAAACACACATTTACCCTAGTCTTGTAATTTCAGACATCATTGGTGTAATTTATTTGTTGTTTCTGTGCACATAAAGGGACATTTTACTAATGAAATCCAATCACATGACACCCCTTAAGCACACATGCACACACACATGACACACATTGTTGAATTAACAAACACTAACTTGCGCACACATTCGCTTTAGGGTGATAGTTGATTATTATGCCCCATTACTCACTGATTATCTCTTCAAGGCTTTGAGCTCCGTGTTTCCTTCAGTTCTGCTTCAAACAGAGAAAGAGTATCACTGTGGACCTGTAGCATTCAGTCATGTCGAGGACACCTTATTATTAGACAGGAAAAGTTTAAATTTGCGACTTCAAGGTTGTGTTGTCCTTTCTAGATTTGTATATAGTTTTTTACTTTGTGTTTGGAATCCTGTATTAGCCACACAAGGGTCATTGTGCTATGGATGGCAAAGTTACTGGATTGATTTCAATTAAATCAATTAAAAACATACTGATCTTTCCATGAGCACCAATGAAAGGTCAACATTAGTAATTTTGAGGGAAATATCTCAACCAGTATGGACAAGATTGCCATAACATTTGCTCATGACATTTCTACATTAGTTACACTGTTTTTTTTTTTACTGTTATTTAGCAAATGTTAGCATGCTTACATGCTTAGATGGTACATGTGGTAAACAATATTCCTCCTTAACCTTTCCATGTGAGCATCATTTTGTCATTGTGGGCATGTTAGCGACCGTACTGTTGTGAGCATTTAGCTCAAAGCACCACTAGACCATGTGCTGGAAAGACGAACTCTGCCATAGTGTTGCTGGTGTTTCTGAGAATTTTGCCCTGAAAACAGAGAATTTGTGTTCATTTTTTTACGTTAAATATGAATCTTTGGAAACATTCATCTCACTTATATTTACTTCATGTATCATCATTGTAAACATGATGATTGGCAGCTCATTTTGAGATATATTGCTATAATTATCAGTTTGTGGAATCAAATTAATTAAATGTGTGTGTGTGTGTGTTTTGTCTCATCAGGTGGTACCACGGTGCACTGTCTCGCTCGGAGGCAGAGTCGCTGCTAACGCTGTGTAAAGAGTGTAGCTACTTGGTGAGGAACAGTGAGAATAACCGCTCCGAGTATTCCCTCTCCCTACGGTAAGACACACACACACGCATACACACACACACGCACACATACACACACACACGCACACACACACACACACACACACACACCTACAAACCACCTCCAGTATTGTTCTCCGATAAACAGCGTTACAATTTAATTGCACACTGCTAATGTTTCTTCCGTGCGACTAAGAAGCGTGTGTACTGTGTGTGAAGCCAGCTTAGTTTCCGATCTCATATCGCAGTCTCCACACCTCTCCATCTGTCTCACCCTCCTCTGTCTACCTCCCTCCAACATCACCCCCCCCTCAGGATCCCTGCCGCACTGATTCCCCTCCCGATACTAATTTTCAGGGCACAATACTGCTTATCTGGTCAAATCTCTCCCTTGTAATTACTACCACGATCCATCGTCGTGGCCGCGCACCGCGCTCCCATCACCCCTCTCTCCTCAACCCATCCTTGGCCCTTCTCGGTGGCCGGCCTCCCTGGCCCCAGTGGACCCTCTTAAGTGGTAATCAGGCAGGTAGAGCACACTTCAGTGCACACATCATCCTCACCGTAATCACTAATGAATATGAATTACCTTCTGTGGGCCACACAAGAAGCCAATCCGGGAGAGAAAGGGAGGGGGGTGAGGCACGGAGTGTCACTGTGTTGTGCTGACATATATAAACAAGCTCATGCATTACTCATTTACATGACTAAAGTGGGTTTTACACACACACACACACGCACGCACACAGACACACAGACACACAGACACACAGACACACAGACACACAGACACACACACAGACACACACACACACACACACGCACGCACACAGACACACAGACACACAGACACACAGACACACAGACACACACACACACAGACACAGACACACCGACATGTCTGTATGTCACAAACACACACACATGCACACACACATGCAAGTTTGCTCAAGCAATAAGGTCACAACTGGCACTGGTTCCCCAGCTGGTGCATTTGTGTTTTTGGAAGCAGATTAATCTCTTTAAAGATTAAAATGTGCTGCTGTCCTTCATTGAAGTAGACTTAACAAAAACAAAGAACATTGCCAAACAATGTGAAAGCAGCGTAGATATTTAATCAGCTTAAAGGGAAACTTTGGTTTCAGACAGCCTTTGTTTTCTTAGTCTTGGCCATCATTCTAATCAGTTATAAATACATTTAGTTAGTTGCTGAGATCCTAGAACACAATGCTAAGAAGAAGCCAAGAAACAAGCAGTCTGATGATCAAACAGCTTTTAAACAAAGCTTCTGATCAGCTTAACGTATTTGCAAGAGAAGACGAAAGGTCAAATATTACCCAAACTCCATCACAGTTAAGAGGCTTTGACCTGCTTTCACCTTCCTGACTTTTCACAGTTTTCTTGTGCTACGACAGATTTTTACCGGCATTTTTGGTGCAATTACTTTTTTCTCGTGCGTATAATAGTCTGCATGTTTTAAATGTACCTATCACACTCTACCACCTTGTCCATTGAACATTTTTGTAGTCAATACATGCCAATGAACTACAATAACCCCGAGTAAAATTGTGTGTCAGATGTTTCATGCATCAAGGTCACTTGTATTCTGTTGGTTTTGTATGCCAAAGATTATGACTGAAACATGTGTGTGTAATCAACAAGTGTGTCATTGTAATTTGAACACCTTGCAAAGCCTTTCTACCAGGTGAAAGGTGGACACTTTAATCCCTCACCTCTAAACACAATGGTTCAGATAAAGGTTTAATTGTTTTCTCTATCAGATATCAGCAATTGTTTTGGCGGTGCAGTCAAAACAACAGAAATATGGCCCATGTTAAAATCAATAGGAATTTTCTTTCTTGTCTTCAGTGGGTTGTAAATGATCATTTCCCATCATGTAGGTTAGTCTTTATCGGGGTGTTGTGACTGCTTTTCTGGTGTTGTTAGATACTGACACGTTGTAATGTCTATGTGCCCTTCAGTAAGGACAGCTTGTGTAAAAACAACCAATATTGTTAAATAATGCAGCATTCATGGACTTTTGTCATTGAGTTGCTCCTTGGACAAAGTCAACAATATCTAAGATAACAGAGTCATGTGGACAGTGGGAGGAATGAGGAAGGCTGTTGTATCGGAGACAAGATGACCTCCAAAGTAAGTCAGCAGTGAAACAGACCGATATAAACCAACATAAATATATTTATGGAAGAGCACCGACTCAGGTTCTAATGTACCATAAGATACAAAGTGTCCCACGAAACAAACAGGACTATATGAGCGCTGACGTGATGAAGACTCTAGCTCTGGAGGCCAGTGGGATGAAGATAAACTGCCTGTTGTTCAGCTGGTTGTAGTCTCAGTAGGGGTTTCTGGCTTTCACTGCTCTTCAAAATGTAATTCGTTTTACTAGAACAATGACAATTACGATGACCGATTTCAGCCCTTGACTTTCCCTCTGCTTCTATAATTAGACATACATCATGACTGGCTGGCTGCCTCTTAAAGGGGAAGTCCCGTCATGGCTGCCTGGGATTTAAAGGGGAGGAACCAGCATGGTTTTCTTGGCTAAGCCACTTTCACAGTCCAGCGTTTTTTCTTTCACTCCCAATGGCTTTGTCTTTCCTTTCAAGTGCTATTACACCACCCGCTCATCCATCATAAAGCCCTGTCCTTCCTAATTTGTGGCATGGTGTTAAATCTCGGTTATATTCCTGTCCTCAAAGAGCAGGAACAAGAAGGGAACATAAATCCTGCTTGTCATTTCCACGGTGTCAGCTGCGTGAGGTTTTATGTGCCCCACATTTAATATCCTCTCCCACACTCCTTTCTCCCTTTCATATTGAATCTCTCCCACACTTCTTTTGTCCCCTCCCGTTCTCAAACCATTATTTCTGTTTTCCCCCCCCCACAGGAGCTGCCAGGGTTTCATGCACATGAAGTTCACCCAGTATAAAGACGGCAAGTACGTGCTGGGACAGAACAGCCCTCACTTTGACACCGTCCCAGAAGTCATCCACTTCTACACCACGCACAAACTCCCCATCCGAGGTGCCGAGCATCTGTCCCTGCTGTTCCCCGTGCTCGTGCAGACGCTCTGACGCTCCTCCTGGACGCCATTGTGATCGGACACGTAAACCTTGATTGTTTGACTGGGTCGTCCCAAGCTAGTTGGAGTTTTTGATGATTCAACACACTGGGGGCAAATGCCCTCACCCACCACTGCTGTTGTACCCGTGCCAAGTGTCTCTAACAACCGGAGGAGATCAATTCACATGAAATGCAAAAAGCTGAACTTTAGGCCACCTTTGCTGTAACTCCTCTCCTCTAGCTGACTGAAATGCAGAGGAAGTAAGCAGAGTTGGGAGAAAGTCTGTATTTTCTGGATGTACCGATGCCCCAGTTTACAGGAGACCTGCAGGAGACTTGGATTTAATTACTGCTGTTCAACAAAAAAACACCTCATTGACACTGGTAAAAAATATTGCTGTTGTGAAAACCTCACTAATCGTATTTTGCAGATTTCTCATGTTTATATGGATCATCACATTGTATAAGATAACCCTCTTCATACAACACTGTTGTTAAATGTTGGACAATTCACAAAACAACTGCTATTTTCAATTATATAAGGTTTTTTTACTAACAGCAGTTATATTTCAGATGCTTTTCTACACAAAGACACACACTTCTGTTCTTCACTGTCCTGCTGCTGTATGTTGAGAATTTGCTTTTCTCCATGTTACTTGTGAGCAACAGAGAAGCTGTGTTGTATCGGTACTTGTGTTGACCTTGTTGACCTGTATCTCTTGTTGATTGCTTGCTAGGTTTGTTAAAAAAAAAAAAAAAAGATGTCAATGCTGTCATTTTCTTTTCATTGACTTGAGGCTCGGTAGCTAAGCTGTAGGCTAAGTCTGAAGCTAAGAGATGAAACCCTCTCAAAACAAACCCTAAAACTTTGAGACTGCCACGTTCTCACACTTCCTACATATTCAAGCTCAGATGTTCTCGTCTCTCCAAGTCAATACATGCTGCTTGGTGAGATGTATTTGAGTTGCGTGCCATCTGGAATGGGATCCCATGTCTGCTGCCTGGTGCAGCTTCGTGTGGCAAAAGCAGTTTTTAGAGGAGAGCCAATTCAAACACATTTATGACAATTGGAAATGAGAGATAGACAATTATTCAAATCATCCGTTCTTTTTACAGAGCTGACTGGGTTTTATTAATTATTATTGTTTTGGCCATGTTCTGTCACACATAAAAGAGGACAGGATGTTTAATGTACCCACTGTGCTGAAGCATGTCATTTGTTCTAAATGTTGATTCTACATTTAGATCTTTATGTAGATCACTACTTCCCACCCTGAGGGCTGGGACCCTCCCAAAGGGGTTTAGTGATGAGTCGTGGGAGGAAATAATGAAAAACTAAACTCTGCTACGCACAAATATTGAAATGTACAGACTAGCGTATGACGTTTGCTTGTTTTATTGTGAAAACTGTATATTTGTTCCTCTTTTTGCCTCTAAAAATGAACCAAAAACAATTTAAAATAGCTAAATCCTTTTTCTCTCATTTAAATAAGAACACAATAATTCAGATTTAGAGTCGAAGTGATGACATGTTATACAATGGACTCATTAGACTCTCCCAGAAAGAAGAAAAGAGGCACAAAGGACTGGAAGATTGCGTGCTCCACACTAAAAATGCACACATTTGCTTTCCCTCATCCACTGACAGCAGCGCTGGGAGAGAGAGAGAGAGAGGGTGAGGGTGAGGACTGGGGGTGAGGTGTGGCTGGGGAGGGTGAGGCAGCCCCTCATTATTTGGGCTGCGCCTCAGTGAAAAGCACTGGGATTGCTTTCATTACTGAGCCAAATGAAATAGCAGAGGCTGATTACCCGCGTGACGGAGAGAGGAGACGAGCCGGATCACTCAATTGGGGAGAAAGAGTGAAGGGAAGAAGGGAGATGAGGGGGGGAAGAGAAGAAGGAGGGGGGGGGGGGGGTGTGTGTGTGTGTGTGTGTGTGTGTGTGTGTGTGTGTGTGTGTGTGTGTGTGTGTGTGGTGTGTGTGTGTGTGTGTGTGGTGTGTGTGTGTGTGTGTGTGTGTGTGTGTGTGTGTGTGTGTGTGTGTGTGTGTGTGTGTGTGTGTGTGTGTGTGTGTGTGTGTGTGTGTGTGTGTGTGTGTGTGTGTGTGTGTGTGTGTGTGTAAGAATGAGTGTAAGAGAGAGAGAGACGGTGACATGGAGGGGGGGCTGCTATAGTCCCATTTTTCAAACAAGGCTCCCTGGGGAGGGATATGAATAATAACGACAGTAGCAGAGCAGCATGTTAAAATCAAACAAATATCACACTCTTATTTCTCTGGGTTTTGTATACCTCTAACCTTGTCTCTGTTTATTCTTTTCAGTATTTCAGCTTTTTTTTTATTAGCTAATTCTTTATAAAACCTAAGACAAAGCTCTAATTTCATGAGCACAGTTGTGTAAGTTGGAACAAATGGCACTGTCCTCGCAGCATTTTATAACAATCTGGTGTGTGTAGATTGTAAAATGTGTTTGTGTGTGTGTGCAGCTGTCACATCAGAAAGTGTGGGTAATGTCAGATCTGGGGGGTGTCGGCGATTACACGGTGACGGCAGCTGTTAATCCATCAGACAGGCTCGGAGGAATGAACACCTGTGATCACCGCAGAGCCAGAGAACATTTTAGGAAACCACATAACATGCACACACATGCAACGCCTAAAAGAGTTCTCATACCTTTTTTTAAGAGAAGTTGTGACACTTTGCAGTATTAAAAGCACAGGTGTTCACATAAAATCAATGGGTGCTGAATTCCATTTTCCTGTTTCAGGGTGCTGGTACCTTCATCTGGTCATGCCTTACTGTGACACTTGAGTTGAGCAGAGCCAATGTAGATGCTGTTAATAACATGTGTGCGTTTGTTATTATGAGAAAGTCAAAATGCCGTAAATAAAGGAATATAAACCATTGTCCTGCTGAAACATAATCAAGTTAAAGTAAAAGAAGCAGTACCATTTGCAAATGAAGCATTTGACATAAAAATGGGACTATTACAGGAAATCTAAGTTTTCTATTAAAACGTCATCAAAAAAACGAAACTATTTTGATCTCAATAGACCATCTTACAACTTTTAAAGGGGCCCTATTATTATTTTTGGGGTTTCCCCTTCCTGTCGTGTGCTATAGGTTTTTGTGTATGTAAAAGGTCTGCAACGGCTAAAATCCCAAATCCCACTCCTCCATTGGACTCCTACACAGTACATTTCTCTGAGTAAAATTGACTCAAATTGAAGAAAATTTTACTCTAAAAATATTACATTTGGTCCCAACCTATATAGAGTAAAATGTAATCTTTGTTCAGAGTTGTATTTTTAGAGTTCATTTTACTCTATTACAGTATGTGCTTAGATTTGACTCTGCTTAATGGTTATTTACTCTATGTAGTGTATATTAAAAACAACTCTACTGCCATTTTACTCATAGAAGGTAATTTTACTCCCAATCGAAGGTAATTTTACTCAGAATAGAATAAATGAACCATAATGATCTTTACAATAAAAAAGGTCAATAAACTAAAGTGCTTAAGGAACATGAGTGGGCGTGTGTGAAGCTGACCATTGAGCGGCCCGACCAAGCAAGGAGGCAGAGGCAGAGAGTTCAAATACAACCCGGTGTGGGCATTTATTCCTCTTTGTGGTACAGGATACACAGCCTCAATATGACTGTCTCACGTGAACACAGTCACCAGCCACCAGGATCTCACACACACACACTAACAGGAAAACAGAACCTAAATACACACAGGACTAATCAAACCAACAAGACACAGGTGAGGAGGGAGGAGAAAACACAGGGCACCAGGTGAACGCAATCACCAGCAACAGACAAGACGGGAGGGGGAACACTTTTCAAACTAAAACAGGAAACAGAGACAGACAAACTAAAACATAGACAGATCGTGACATCGTGCATAAATGACATATAATCACATGCTTCCTGTGCAATGTTTTAGCGTGGAACAAATGAATATACTTCGCCAATAATGAAGCTATAATATCCGTAACGGAGACCGAGATCTATGGCCCCAGAGATCACCTCCGTTACAGCGTGGTCATGGTTTAACTCCAATAGAATTGACTCTGCATTTTTGATCGCACTCTAGAAGCTATGAGTAATAAATACACTCCAAAATGATTAAATATCACTATTTCAGAGCAAAATAGTAATTACTCTGGAAAAAATACTCACCAATATTTCCTGTGTATGTTAACTTATGTAACATAGTGACATCACTATGTAACACGTGCGCTACTTTTGGCTAGGGCTCCAACAAATTGTATGTGATTGTCAGTTAACCAATCACAACAGAGCCGGCCAGCTAACCAATCAGAGCAGACTGGGCTCTGGTTTCAGACAGAGGGTGAAAAGAGGTGCTGCAGCACAGGCAGTATGAGAAAAATAAAGAGCTTTTTGAACATTAAAGCATGGAGACATGTCACAGTAGAGACACTAAATACATATATGAACCTGAACATTACCATAATAGGGCTCTTTTAAAGGAAGAGGTAATCATTAAGCACTGTTCTTCATAAAAGCTTGGGGACACATTTGTTGCTTATTTATTTCTCATGTGAGTTTTTCACAGAGTCAGTTCATAAGCCAACTTGTAAATCTTTCATGAGTTGAACAGAGGAAGCTTATCATGGTCGTCTCCACCTCCAGTTGCTCTTTCACACAACACACACACCTCCAGGCTGAACGTGCATCAGAGGCAGGACTCAGCCAGCTGTGCACACACTCAAAGCCACCAGAGAGGCACGGGACACGCATGTCAGACTAAAAGGCCGCCGTCCTCCTTCTCACTGATCCACCATCACAGACACGCTAATCCCAGCAGTCGTGGCCAACAGGCAGGCGGGAGAGGAACAGATAGATTGGAGGTCGGAGAGAGCAGGTGTGTGCATGCCGTCAGGCCCGGCCAGAAGACTGCCGTCAGGAAGGGGTTTGAAGAGACAGCAGCTGCTGTTAGGGGGGATTTGGGGAGAGGGAGATATTAACACGAAGAATTTAGAAGTGATTGCTTATCCGCTCCTGCCACCTATCTGTTACGATAGAATGGCATTGATAGGAAGGTTGTAAGGGCTGTTTAATTGTATCAGGTGGTCAACATCTCTCGTGCAAAAAGACCTAGAGTAGAAGAAATGGAACCGAGATAAAACAGCAAAATACATTAATCTTTAAAAAGGTCAAACCATTTGCAATTGGATGAATAATTCAAAGTACTAGAAGGCAGTCGACTCAGGTTCATTTACTCATTCAGTATCAGGAGTTAGAGTCCTGGGATCTGATGAATGATAGTTTCAAATTTGATAAGAGATGGGACCAGTGGCGTAACAAGGTTGTGATTGGCCCCGGTGCAAATATTGTTTTGGGGCCCACCCCCCCAAAGATAAGCGCACACTGATGCGCTCACACACGCACGGACATACACAACCACTCAGAAGCACCACATGTAGGCTATCAACAACAGCCTGCCCTGGCCTCAGACCACCACATCCTGACAACGGCACAGCGAACTAAGAAGAGAATTACACCTGTTTCCTTGATATTTGTCTTTGGGGAATGGGCCGGTAGACCTACATGGACCGGTTGCTATAATATAGCTTTTGATCTTGGCGTCGGGGGTCTCAATAGCGCCATAGAGTCCCCTATCGGTTGGGGCCCTTGGGGGAACTGTTGGAGCCAAATCCAGCCTCTCCTCCTGGCTGGCTGGAGAAGAAGGTCGCACAGCCACGGCCACGGATACAGCTTCACTTGTGGAGCTAGATGGCAATGACGGTGGTGAGGCATGTGAGCTATCGTTAGCCTCCGGCTCCCGTTGTACCTCAACATTGCTAACGTTAGCGCTCGATTTCGAGGACGATGTATGACAAAAAAAACGGTCTAATTTCGTCAGTTTAGCTGTTACATCTCCTTGTTCTCTCTTGTCCTTTCTCTTTTGAGCGCTGCTCTTGTGCTTTGGTTTGCTGTACATTATAAATGCAAGCTATTACATTTTTTATAATGCTGCCGAACTTGCTGCTGCTAGCTACAGTACAGTACAGGTTACAGGTGAAAACAGGTTATTTGGGGATACAAATATTTAATTGAGAGAAAATTAGTTGACCAACTATTCATTATTTAGGTGGTTGCTGTTTCCTTTTCCTCAACATGACCTAAGGCTCAGGGAAATTGAGATTTTCACTTTTAGAGGCTAGCCAATGAAACAATTAATTGAAAAAATAATTGAGATATAAATTGGGAATAAAAATAAATGTGAGTTGCAGCCCTAAAGGCACAAATCAGGACTCCCGTATGATAAGACATCCCAGGAAAGGATGCTTATGTTGCTTCAGGAGTAAGATAAAAGAGAGAATGACTTTTCCCTTATCTCAGGTCTTCTTGATCAGCACTGGACAGGAGATTTCACGGCAGCGGGGTGTCGAGGGGGATGCTGGGAGGATTTTCTACAAATCCTAGTCTCAGCCTGTTCCTTCAGATATCCTTCTACGATGTGACCTATGCCTTCGCTCCTCCCACCTGCTCCCTGAATAAAGCTCTCTGATCCCCGTGGAGCTTATCACCGAAATCTGCCTGGGTCTCCTCTCTCTTTGTGGCAGAAAGTAATTACACTGTGTCGGAGAGCCGTGGAGGTGAAGGTAAGGGAGGAGAGTCATCACACACCGCATGAATGAGAGTGTGCACCTCTGGTGAGAGTGGTTCAAATCACACTGGTGGAGAGAATGGCCTCAGATAGGGTCTTTGCCTCAAACACGACCCCTCGCTGCTCTCCTCCTGGCCCCACTCCACCTCCGAGCTGCTTTAAAACGGGACTTCAGAGTGACAGAAGTGTTTCATACTGGCACATTCAGAGGCTCGGACCAGATGGAGTCTTTGTTCTTCCTCTCAAAAACACACACATTACACTGACACGTGCAAATGGTCACACACACACATGCATGCACACTTCCTCGCCAGCGTAAAGCCAGGATCATGATGACAGGGGGTGGTGCGATTCTCTTGTCCTCCGCCGTGTTCACATTAGTCATATGCAAATCAGCATTGTGCACAGAGAATGACAAATCCACCGTGTCTAAATCCTTCAAAGAAGACTGGTGGCGGTTATTTAGTTAACATGATTTATTAAGGTGTTTGACCCAGTTAGCACCCGGTAAACGGTGTTTGTTTCAGATGTTTGGACAAATGGAATCTGTCATGGGGGACGTAAAGAGGATTAAAATTAAAAGGAATGTATTCATGTTTACTAAAAACATGTGTGAGGTATTTTTTTAGACGAACATTGAAGGAGAGGATGGTGAAACTGATAATATCCGTTGGGATGTTCAACATTTTATCTTTCAGCCTCATTTTCATCATGTGAATCACTATGTTCTCATAATAACCACAATTTGACCACACATTATTTGTATTTGTTTTGCTCTGGATCCATAATTTGTAGGTGTTACTGGAAGCTTTTTCCAAATGAATCATGACCCTCTATTTTATTTTATTTGGGAATCCATTCATGTCGCACAGGATTGCCAATAAAGCATTCTCGATTTGAATGATTGCGAATACAGAGTTTGTTGGCTCACGGTTTTGCATTTTCAAAGTCTAATTGATGCCAAATAAGTAATAAGCTGGCACACTCGAAATGTGTTACTGATTGTCTTTTACTTCTACTGATGTTCAAGCTTCAACAATGCCTCTTCATCATGAGTCTGACTCCCAGGACGGACAGATGGCAGTATGTATCGTGTGTGTACATTGAAATGATAATACCTTTTACAGCATAAACAGTCCAAATGTGAGAAAAGATAATGTGCCGCTGCCGCTGTCCTTTGAGCAGTGAGTCTTCTCTTGTACGTTCACTTGGCTTTGAAGAGTTCAATCTACTGGATTTTATTCATCTTTCTTTTGTTGCAAAACTGTTTTCTGACAACATAGACATTTGAATCAGACTCAATCTAATTAGGATTTGGATCAGGATGGTGTTGAAATAGAAGGGGGAAACAGACAAAATTAGCAAAAGGAGAGAGAATCACTGAATTTCACTGACTTTTGGCATTTCCTAATGTTCCAGATGTCGAGCATCATCCCCGGCTAATTCAGGAAAGAGGGTGTTCGAACATTTCTGACAGAAAACAGCAAGTGACCTTTAAGCTGGAAAAGCTTGGCTGGTATTGCGTCCTCGCTGTCTTTTTCCATCAGATCCGCAGGTGCTGAGCAGAGACACATCCTTTAGCTCAGGTGAGTATGAAATGCCAGTCTGTCAGCTCCGGTCTAATCTGAGCTGTGCAATGTGGTATAAACAAAAAAAAACTGCTACAATCGGCCCATCTAGTGATTCAAGTCAAAGTAACCTTCACTGCTGCAGGTTTCTCGGAAAAACCAACACATCCATTACAGTAAGTATTGACAAGAAGTATCTGAGCATTTCTCACAGTTAATAACACTAACATCTTAACCCTTTCTCCCACATAAGGAACTCTTCTGGTTTGAACACATCCTGTAAATGTGTGTGATGTGAAAGTTGTCATATGTGCACAGTTTGAATCATCATTGTTATCATTAAATGGATAACATGAATAAAACCTTGGACAATCATTCCTTCATTTAACATACTCAATAACTGGAGGTGTTGTCACATTTCAGATACTTTATACCATGACGGTAGATTTTTCAGGAAGCTCTTCAAAGAAAAATTAATATCCTTCATGACTAATGCCTGACCTCGCCGAGGTGAAAACTCCTAGTTAAAATAAATATCAGGAGTTTCTCTGCATTATTCATCACAGGCTGACCCAGGTCTACTTATGAAGGGCAATAAGAGAACATCAGTGAGCTTACCATCAGGATTGTAGTGCAGCAGGTTCAATCATATGACATTTATCTTCTGTTTGAAAAGCAAATGATAATCTGACATCAGAGCCTTTCTGCATTTATATATGTATGGCTTAAAGGGACAGTTAACATAACCTAGCAATTATTTTCTTTCTTTCTACATGTAGATGTTTGTGAAGTTGCGAAATCTTGAAACTTCCCAGGAATATAATGGAACTACATTGCACTCAGTTTGTGGTGCAAAAAGGACAAAATAAATACTGAAATGTCTCTATCCAGAAATCACGACACTGTTACTCTAAAATAATCGACAGACATGGTTGTGAGCAGCTTCATGTAGGAACTATTTTCTATACCCACCAACCATATCAGCGTATTTATACTCATGGATGAGAGGCTTGTGCTCTTATACGCCTAGTTTACGTGAGCAAACTAATGAGAGCCAAGGATTATTTTAAAGGGGCTCTTTTGTACACAATTTCAGGTTCATATTTGTATTTTGTGCCTCTACTGTGACATGTTCACATGCTTTAATACTCAAAAAGTGCTTTGAACTTTGGGATTTTAGCCTTTGTAGACCATTTACGTGCACAAAAACCTACACAACACACATACTGGAAAGTGAAAGCATAATAGGGTCTCTTTAAATCTAATGCTGACACGAGCATGGTGTGTTTTGGTAGAAAGAAAATAGGTCCTTAATGAAACCACTCCGACAAGGACTGTAGATTATTATAAATTATAAGGTCATGACTTCTGGAAAAAATATTTCCTTTAGTTTTCAAATGTAAATAATTACTCCATTGAGAAAAAGTGATTGACTATTGTTAATGTTCTTATGTTTGTGTGTTTAACATTAACTGTGTCATGATTTCTGAAGAGAGACATTCCCGTTGAGTTTTCAGATGTCTTTTCTCTATAGGCTTTAAGCACCAAAGGCCAAGTGTCATTAGAATGAGTTTATTTACATCAAAAGGCCTACTGGCCAACATCTCTTTATCTAATACTGTACCTAAAACACTTGGCATTTATCAATCTATATTGATAAATAGAACTACAGTGAGAGGAAAAATATGTATTCTCGATGTTTTGGTCAACTGTCCCTTTAGGCTTTCATGTGGCTACAACAGACTGATCTGAGCAAACATTTACCATTCATTTGGCGCACAAAATATACGGACAAAATCACTATCCCTGGTTTTCCTGAATATTTATCCTGATAATGTTTGCAGAGGAGCAGCAATGACACGGTTACACAGGATGAGAGGAAGGGGGTTGAAAGCAGGCAAGACATCGATTTAATATAAAAACAGGACACGTATGAAAATCTCATAAAAGGGAATAGGATTTTATTTTATTTGCTATATAATGGCATCAGGCACTACACCACCCTAGGCAGAAATGTCATTTGCAGTCTACCACCATTAAATAATTCACATCCAGCACTCCTATCGCTATAGTGGTTAGTTGACGTGTGAGTGGTTTCTAGATGTGCTGATGAGAAGCAAACATGTCAATGAGTGTTGTTTTTAGCCACACTTATTCAGATGATGCCGACAGAGTAAAGACAAATGGAAACTGAGTAAGTTCTACAAATATAGAACTGAGCCTAAAATGGCCGCCATACAGAAGTTAAACCCTACTGATTTGAGTAAATCACTTTTCCTGTAGAACCACCCTCAAGGCAGTCTTTACTCGCTTGTCCATTAGTGGTGAGACTCTGGAAATAACAATGTTGTCTCGCCATGATTTATTCTTCCAACACTTTTGATTTCTGTTGTGTAATGAGTTTCACAGCCTCATGAGGCCGCTGGTCTGACAAACACATCTTTGGATTTCTCTCACAGTGCATCTCAATCCTAGTACCATGAAGGGTTTTATACACACAAAATATACCAAACAAGTATACTAGACAAGTATACCGATAGTGTTAAAATGGGAAATGTTTTCACAGAAAATAAATAATTTACAAAGTAAAGGTGTGATGCAAAATACAGGTAGTATTACAGGTAGAGTATTTGCATATGGCACATGCAAAACAAGCGCTCCGATTTGATCATTTCTGCTTATAATGACATAGTAAAAATGAACACATTGACATTTATACAATTAATTATAGTGTTGTTGTTTAAAACATTACCAAGTTTCACAGAAATGAATGAGGACAACATATTTAATTTGGTGCTTGCTTTAACCCATGTCCATGAAACTGTTGTGCTTGTTAGTTTTGAAATGTGAAACATAAATCATTGTGTTAGACAAAAACAAGTAACTCTGGGGTTGTGAATGATATCATTGAGTTGTTATAAATAGTGGCTTTGAATGATCTAGATTGTTATCTGCATTTATCTGGTTTTATCTGAATATCATTACTTCATCCGATCCATAGTGCATAAACAAAAAGTGGCTGATAGCAGGACAATGTCAGTTCAAGGTAGGGCTGGGCAATATATCAATATTATACTGATATGAGACTAGATATAATAGATATCTTACATTAGTTATCTTTATTATTATAACTTGTCATTTGCTGATGTGATGTCGTTTTTTGAACCAACCAAACTGTTTCTGACTGTTCTATTAAGGCCACACACAAATCTCATTGTGTAAATACCAATCCTACATCATCATCGCAATATCGAATGCATTTGATCAGAAATGTTGTAATATTGTATTTTAGCCATATCGCCCAGCCCTAGTACTAAGTCTACTCCTGTGTGACTGTAACTCCTCACAATGTGCTTCCACTCAGAACTTTTTGAGTGGCGGCAGCGCCTTCACGAGCACAGCTGAGAGCAGGTCTGCAGGTCCAGAGAGGGGTGGCAGAGCAGTGGCTGAGGGGTCTCCATTCTTGTTTTCTGAGTGCATAGGTGTGGGAACCTTCCCTCTTTGCAGCGTGGTCTTCCCCGGCCCACTGCCCCCCCCCTGCACTGGTCTTGCTGTTCTCCGCTGTGGGGATGACTGTTCCCAGTTTGGGGTTTCCCAGCACGGCGGTCCCTGTGTGCTCCATGCTGGTCTGACAGCAGCACAGCTGCCTGAAGAAGGCCGCCCTCATCTCCCTGCTGGACAGAGTGTATATCAGAGGGTTGAGGGCCGAGTTGAGCACAGCCAGGGCGATGAACCAATCCACCTGGAAGAGCACGGGGCATTTATCTGGGCTGCAGCCAACATCCAGCAGCAGCAGGAGGAAGAGGGGCGTCCAGCACATGACAAACACTCCCAGAACAATAACCACTGTCCTCAGCAGGGCTAGAGAGCGCTCTGTCTGGCTGCTCACCCTGCGGCCGCTGGAGGTCACCAGGCGGTAGATCCTGATGTACAGGATGATGATGGCCACCAGCAGGGCGCTGAAGACGCTGATGCAGAAGGCCACGTAGCTCTTAGCGTAGAGCGGCAGCACGGTGGAGCAGGAGGCCATATTGTCCAGGCAGTTCCACCCCAGGCTGGGCAAGGCACTGAGCAGCACTGACACAAGCCAGCAGGCTGCCAACAGTCCCAGAAGTCTCCCGCGACCTGCTGTCTCACAGGGACGCAAACGCACCATAGTCATGTGCCTCTCAATCCCAATGGCCAGGAGGCTGAAGGTGGACGCACTGAGGGCCACGAACATGCTGCCTTCTCTGGCCAGCCACTGCACCGGGGTCAGGAAGAAGGTGTTGCGTCCCGAGGTGAAGATGTTGACCACATAGGCCACGCCGGCCAAGAGGTCTGACAGCGCCAGGTTCCCAATGAGGAAGTACATGCGGCTGTGGAAGCGTTTGTTCCTCCAGAGAGCGAGCAGCACCGTGACGTTCTCCAGGACGATGAGGCAGCAGATGAAGAGCAGTACGGCCATCTTGCAGGCCCCGCTGCTGCGAGGCCGTTCCCACTTCCCCGAGTGGTTGTAGTGGCTCACGATGACAGTGTTCATCCCCTCCTCCACTATGTTCCCCATCCTGACTGGCCTTTCTTTGGCCTTCCTGGGTCAGACAGCAGAGGGCGCCACAACACTGGACACAGCAGAGGATGCTTAACCTGGCAGGGTAACAGCTGGCATTTTACAGCCTCCTGAAAGACCTGCAAGATAGAGAAAATGTTTTTAAAAGTTATTTTCAACACTTTAAAGTCACAAAAGTTACATTCAACAACATTTTGGATACTTTATCTAAGAAAGATATACATAGGAGGACTCTTGCATATAAAAGTATTAGTTAAAAAGGTGCATATCGAACAAAAAACTGCATAGCTAACATTTAATTCCTTAATTGTCCTAGCTAAGGTAGCAGATTTCATATAAGAGAATATAAATAACACAAACTTGTATAAGGAGAATAAACTGTAGATAAGATTACAACTACTTTGTTATTGTCATGTTAATACTAAACAAACAGCTGTGGCAGTTACTGTTAATACATCATGTGCGATACATGTTTATAAGTATGATTGACTACAACCATAATTTCTGACTGGATACATCTCTAGTGAGTGTAGCCTGTTAAACATCTCGATGTAAAAGCTTACAAATGTATCCAGTAGTTTAACATGTCATTTAATCTTGGTGTGGGAGGTGTATCCAAGATTAATAAATACACAATGATGTGGACCTATTGGGTATTCTTATTTTTTCAAAATGTAAACACTTTTAAACACTATATTAATTGAAACAATTAGTTTTTTTGTGCAATTTCAGCTTTCCTGTTTTGGAAAAGTTTCCCAAAGTTGAATTGAATGATTAACTTTTATAGACTAGCAGGTAAGCTAGTAGGAAAGGTGTCTTCAATGACTGATACTGCTGCAGATAAGAGTAATTTAACTTACATGATGGAGTAACTTGTCTCATCTATACATCCCGGTTGATGGACGATAGTTGAAGTTATTTGGAAAGTAATTATCTTTCCTGCGTATCGATGCACTCGAGCAAATTATGTGTTTGCCAAAAATGGGATATCTTCGACGTAAATGCAAAGTCGTTATAGCGTCCTCTCCCGTATAAACGTTTCCAATCACGGTAGTATTTTTTCTTTACATCCACTTTGTGTTGCGTCCTGAACTTCATCTCCTCCACACTGTGACTCCTGCAGCTCGGACACTCCCGCCATCACCCCACCCTGCTGGGGGAGGGATTTCCCTCACCTCTCCATGTAGTCTTACATTAATTATGAGTCAGGAAAGAGGTCACAGCCGCGCGTGTCATCGAGCCAGACACCAGACGTGTCACTTTGTGTTCATAACGATTAAATTCATTTCCAAAAGTATAGGGTGGGTATGATTTGTTTCTCTCTTTTAAAGTATGGTTTGTTTTTGATTCAGTTCAGCAGTGGAAGAAGTACTCAATATACGTACAAATACTATGGTCCGAAAATACTCCATTACAAGTAAAAGTCCTGATTTCAAAATGTTCCCTTCTTAAAAGTACAGAAGTTTGAGCATTCGTTTTTGCAGAATGGCTATTTTCACAGTATTCATATTATTATGTTTATTATATTACCCTGTTTTTATATATGTAAGAGCATTTTAGTGTTGTAGTTTGTCATTTTGGATCAAAGTTAGATGGTTGAAATACTGTAGATTAGCAATACAGCATTGTACCATATTAGAATATATGTGTTGTATATATAATAAATAGTTGAGTAATAAGTACAATGTTTGCCTGTTTGAAAAATAGTGGAGTACAGGTATAAAATAGAATAAAATGGAAATACTCACGTAGGCCTACATTGTCAAAAAAGCACTTAAGTACAATACTTGAGTAAATGCAGTTAATTCCCACCACTGGAGTTCCGCTGACTGATTCAGACAGGAACATCTCATTTGTTTCAATGTGTCATTAAATTGTTGCACATGCACGCTCATGTCACAGAGCTTTGCCCCAGGGCCTGATGCGCTCCCTGTCATCATCTACACCGCCTTATTCTGTTTTGCTTTGGTTGCATATTTTCAGGATTGATAATGATGATGGATTCATAAACCAATATTACCCCCTTCCCCCCCTAGTTCAATTTGTTAGAGAACTGAAAGCCAAATCCAGATTATGTCCACATTATCTAAAAGTTGACCACAGATTCACGAAATAACCCATGGTGAAGTCAAGTGTGAGTGATTATTTGCCTTTCTGGGAAATCAGCCCCTCCAGTGACAAGCCAAGAAGTTGCAACCCGTTTGATGTCTGACTCATTGTTTTTCAAGTTCAAATAAAAGATGGCTCGGTCCCTTTGCTCCATCAGAGTGTGAGATAGGTCAGACCTCTCCCATTGAAGCCAACTATGGGAAGGGAAGAGTCATACTTTTCTTGTCCTTTTATGCACTTTCGTAGTTGTATTCTGAAGAAATATGTCACTGATAGGAGGAAGACACTAGTTTGGGAAGCAGAATGTAGCTATAGTGACCACATGGTTTCATTATCAATCCATGTGTGTATAAGTCAAGTAAATCAGGTCAGATGCATTCAAGGACACCACAAGTCTGATGTTGATTTAATGCAATTGTTTTCACACCTTCATGGTCTGCCATGCTGTAATCCTGAAAATACCAATCATTATTTTCCTCCTGCAACTTCCTGTTGTGGTGTGACTTAGGTAACCAAGGTGAGAACCATAGACTGTTTGTGCAAAGTGGACCTAGTCACTGTAACACTAACCATTAGTTTATTGACTACTGTTTTTAAACCCTGGCATTTTAGCCATCACCAGCTTAGTTTATTGCAACTTGGGAGGGTGGAGCAACCTAACACTGAACATGACGTTTTTACTCGACAAAAATTGTTACAATAACTTTTGTAAACAGCCAAAAAAACACAGACAACATTGATACTTGGAAAACACTGTGTTACCGTCAAGTCAAACCCAAGGTAGCCCGGCCCTAGTACACCCTACTTTGTATTTTTTACTCTAAATGCAACAATAATTTGCTAAATGAACTTCATGCTTTGCTTGAGAAAACTGACAACTAGGGATTGAGACTATAAACTTATCAGGCAACATTGTATTGAGTAAAAAAATCGATAGAGAAGAAGGAGTTATTTTCTCATAGACTTCTATAAAACCAAACTTCTTTTTGCAACCTAAGGTGTCCTTCACTTTAGGCCTTAATATACGTTGAATGGCTAGGTTATATATTAGTTATCCCTTTTATAGTTGTCAAGAAAAAGGAAAATTACATTTAGATGCCATTTCTTCTTCTTGCGAGCTGTTAACTTATTTATTTGTGCTATTGCAAAGTTAGGCTATTGCTATTTGGAGCTAGCATCAGTGTCCATTCAAGGATCTGCCTTTTCTGATCTCTCCGTTGGCATTAGCATTATTTAGCACCGGAGGTTGCCTCTTAGTTTGAACACAAAGCAGAAACCATAGCTGGATTTGGATGGTATGGGACATGATAAGGGCCGTGTGTTAACCACTAACACCCCCTCTTCAACTCAGCTAATCCACCAACCACACAAACAGCCCCCTGCCCCTCTCTGGCACGGCATTGTGTTTAAAAAACAGACCGCAAATTCCCGTAAGCCATTATTCCATCCACTGGATGGTGAAATGAGTGGAAACTGAGCGGTAGGGGCTGTTCCTCCTTATTGTTTACACTGTGCACTTTATTGCAGTTTTCCCACCGACTTTACCATGGTTTCAGGAAGAGAGGATGACGATGGTAGAGGTCAAAAGACATCTCACCCGGAGCAAAATGAAAGGGTGACAGAAAGGCTGAGAGATAGTTTCAGAGAATGGGAAAAAGAGCAGTGGAGAAATGAGGCTTTGTGTGTGTTGTGCCTACATTCCTTCATTAAGGATCATTTATGTATCTATATTGATTTGATCTGCAAATATGTGTATATATAATAGTATGTATCAAGCAGATCATCACAGTTGAAGCTTATTTGGATTGAAAAAAAAACATGAAAGTAAACATTTTCCCTTAATGGCTGTCCTGAAGCTTTTGTGTCACCATATTGTTCTGCAGCAGGTTGATTTACCTTGTGTTAAGATTGTTTGACAACTATAGTTTCCATTCATCACAAACAAACTTTCAAAAAGAACTTGCAACATTGACAAGCTGTCCTTAAAATACCCAAACAATTAGATAACTTATCTATCCGACAATTAAATGACAAATGAGCACCTCCATTTGCTGCGAAACATCTTGAGATTGTGGAAACCTTGAGAGCAGCTGTGAATGTTTTGACAACTTTTGTTTCCAAGGACAAAATAGTTCCTAGTGTGTTATTGCTTGTGTCAGAAAGGACAAGCATTCCCTTACATATGGGAGGATAATAGAGAAGAGAGCCAGATCTCTGTCTTTAGATATTGGATGTTTGTATTGATTGCCAGTTTTGCTCAATACAAATGGTGGTTAGCATGTTTTGAAAGTGTCTCAAGTTAACTCAACTGTGGCTATAACGGGGTTCTGTGTTTTCTTTTCTTCATTTCTCTTCGCTGATGTCTCCTTTGTTTTTCAAACTGTCCATCTCTTCTGCGTTTTGTTTTTCACAATCTATGTTTTTGTGCTGGATCTAATGGTCTAAAATAGCAAGGAACAGGCCAGAAATTGAGACTGTGATGGATGACGGTGCTGGCTAACAGAAACCGACAGCGTTACAAATGTTGATAAAAAGAAGGGGCGATGGAAAGCGACAGGAAAGAGCAGGAGACTAAGGAGAAGCTGACAGTTTTCCCTTTCTCTCTCGTTCTCTCCCAGTCCACTGGTATCGCTGATTGTGAGCATGCAGTCTGGCCCTCTCGCACATGTCAGCCCAGGCATTGCAGATTAATGAATGGCCTCTAGAGCTGTTGACTTTACCCTGAGCAGCTAGAGATGTACAGACACTCTGACAACAACTCATTTATAACCATATAAAAACACCCCAAAGGCCTTGGCTCTGTGTTGTTGCAAGCTGGATGTGCTTCCTGGCTGTTTGGTGGAAAGAGGAAATGTAGCAACAGTTCACCAGATCATGAAAAAAAAGCCTTGTTGCCAGGTCCTGTTAATGGTTTTTGTTTTTGCATCTTTGTGTGTGTGTGTGCTGCCGCGTTGTGAGTCAGGGTACTGACGTAGGCTCTGGTGGTGAGTTGGATGTTTGGGAATGTAAAGTGTAGTGGGAACGAAGCAGAAGCTGCAGCGATGGAAAAGGAAAGCCTACGGGCCCTCACCCCGCTGCCCTCCTCTCCTGCAGTTTACCCACACCCACTGAAAGAGTTTATTCCAAAATTATACAAGAAACTCCAGCTGGATTTCAATCTGACATAGATCTGGATGATATGTCCAAACATTTATATTTAAATGTACATTGATAGATGACTATAATAAGCATAATTAAATGTACTATTAATAACACTCGATTTACAGTTCTACGAGTAATTTCCTTTGGACAGAACTCAAAATAAATCATAAGATAAGTCATGGTTCATAATATCTAATATCTCATCATTTAAAGTAGGAGATACAACACTTCTTCTTTGGACTACGCACTTTATTCCTTCACCAAAGTTCCAGGTTAACCTTATGCTAACTTGAATAAGTATAAACTCATTTTATTATGCAGCTCTTCTACTATCCAACAGTTTTCAGACTGTATGTATTACATTCTGATAGGTCGTTTTGCATGGGTTTGTTACTCTCAAAACAGTCTATTCACCGTTTTAGAGCAACGGTAGTTAGAGAGGATTGACTGATTAAACTAGTCCGTGAGATGAGGAGGAAAACGGATTTAAATATAACTCTTTTGGAGAAAGAAATCACTCTTTAAGAACAACATCATTAGCTTAACCTTCACCTTTTATCAGATATCTGTGCTCTACTGACAGTCACTGTTTACTTTCTTGGTCTTGGACTGAAATACAGAGTGATGCTGCTTTTAGTTCAGCCTCAGGAAGAGTAGTTTTGAGAATGTGCTACTTGGTAACATAAAGAAAAATAAAACTCATCTTTACAAACTAGTTTAAAATAGAAATGTTTACTAATATGTTCACATTATCCACAGTATTAATTGTAAAAAGGGCATACGATATGTTTATAGTGTTCTTATTTCTGTCTTTTATCTGTATCTTACATCTTATGTAAAGCCCATTTTTTTTAACTTCTTAACAACAGTTATATTTGGAT